CTCCCTCCTTTTTCGGCTTTGGAAGCAAGCCGGGTGGCCGGAGAGAAATCGGCTCCCTCCTTTCACCCGATGCTGATTCCCCTTCACGCTGGGCTGAGCTCAGCCGGCGCCAAGGGGACTCAGTATCGGGTGAAAGGAGGGAGCCGATTTTTCCCCAGCTGCCCAGCTTGCTTTTCCAAACGAGCTTTTCCATGGGAGGACTTTGGCCGGAACGGATTAATTGGTATCCAGTGCATTCCTATGGGGAATGTTGGCTCAGTTTACGAACTTTCCGATTTACGAACTGAGTTCCGGAACGGATTAAGTTCGTAAATCGAGGGTTGACTGTATGTGAAAAGAGGTGCTAGAAAGGAGCCCCACTGAGTCTTATTTTTTTAGGTGTTCTGGTGGAATGTCATCAATGCCTGGGGCTTTGCTGTTTTTCATCTGATCTATATGAGCTATAATTTCACCTGGGGACACCAGGAGCCATTTGGGAGTGCTTCCAAGCATTAGTGGACAGAAGGTTTTACAAAGACATCCTCATACATTCTTGTAAAGTGGGATACCCATTTATCTGGTGCAATACAGGAGGATAATGGATGTTTGGGCTCCGATAGTCGGCCTGAAATTAGTTTCCAGAAAAGGGGTGGATTTATGTCTTTTGTTGCTTCTATCACCTTCCTCCATAGTTCTCTTGTGCGTTCATTTTAATGTAGCAATAGTTTTCGGAGGGCCTCTCCTTTGACATGGTCTTCTGCCCTCAGGTATTCCTGGTATGTCTGGTTTACTAATTGTTTTGCTACCTTACAGCTTTGATTGAACCAAGGTTTGGATTGGTTATAAGATTTCTGAAGGTTTCTACTATATGAATGGACAAGTTGTGGATTTAGCTGTTGTAGGAGAATTTCATAGATATCTACATGATTTTGGTGGACTGGCTGGCTTCCTACTGGATTAAAGGAGTCAATCAGATTTTTTCAGGTTAGAAGCTGTTTTAAATTCTGTGCTGGTTCAGGTGACCATCTTACTCGGCAGCCCACTCTTTCTAATGCTGGAATTTCAGTATGATATCTTGGTTTCTAACATTTAGGTGAAAACACAGGTGTAGGGGGAAATGATCCCCCTCCATGTAAGGAAGCACTTGAAGAGTTTCAAGCATGGAAAGGTGAGCCCTGCACACCAGGATATAGTCAATTGTGCTGGCTTTGGATGCTGCCATAAAGGTGAATTTACCCGGAGTATCACCTGTAATTGTGCAATTTAAAACTGAGAGGCCCAGTCTGTAGACAAATTCGTACAGACAGGCCCCAGCATAGTTTGCACGTTGATCTTTAGCTGCCCTCTCTTGATTCAGGGTCCCCCCATTGTTGTTTCTTATATTGGCTATCATCTTAAATTTGGTTCCCAGATAGTCATCGTCTGGTCCCATGCAGGGGTTTAGGTCCCCACCAATCAGGACCAGAGCATCTGAATGTTCCATGATAAGCTCTCTTGTATAGTTTTCAAGGACTATCCAGTTTCCTTCTGTTACTGCATTTCTAGATGTGGGAAGTAAGTATATGTTAATAATCAGTAGGGTTTTCATACTCCCTATTAGTACTACTGCCATGGCCAGCTATCTCAAGGGGGTTTTCATCGTAGATTTCACTTTCAGAGCCGTTGATACCAGAATGCCCCCCCCCTTCAGTCTCCCCGGTCTGCCCCCTGGGATTACCATGAAAGAGTTGAAACCATCTAATACTATGTCTTTGTCAGACCAGGTTTCTTGCAGAAGAATGATGTCATATTTATGGCGGAAGAAAGGGGTATCACGGGTATGGGAGATACATCTGGCCCAGCCTGCCACCTTCCATGATAAAAATTCAACTTGAGATGCCGATTTTTGTTTGCTTTCTGGAGCACACCGACATGCTTGAATGTCTGGTGCCCCATTTCACTCCTACCTTTTGTCTACCTTTTGGGTCATTTCCCCTCATGTGGCAGAGAGAATTTTAATGGTGTTCCCTTCCTTGTATATCGTTAGCTTCTCCAGAGCAGACTGAGATACATCTGATGATTGATAATCTCTGTAGGTGAAGGGAGCAGCTGGTGTGGGTAAAGAATAGTCTTTAGGGGCCCCAGTGTTTGTTGTTTTGGTTTCTTTGTGTCTCTCTACTAAAGGAAGATCTTTCAGCTCTGCCTGGGTAGGTAATCTTTGTTATATTTGATACTATGGGATCTTAGTGAATTTGGACTTTTTGTTTGTTTTTTCCTCATGCAATATTCCAGGTCGAAGGTTTCTTCATATGTTCTTGTCTTTTGCCTGCCGATAGTCAGTTCTGGGAAAAAGCTACTAAAGGGGCATATCTGCTGCCCATGAGCCACTCAATGATGGAATCGGAGATAGTTCCAATTGTGCAGGCTGGATGTATCTTCTTCTTGTATGGATGGTGTATTCTGTCATTTCTGGGGGTCATAATACCTTTTGAAAGAGGCCTTGGGAGCATTTTTAGCTGATTACTCTGGTTTTTGATTTTTCTTATATAATCACGGGCTTCTTAATTGGGATACGATTTGGAAAGGTTGCAACATAAGTGTGTGCTTCCTTTCCTCATCCTTGGGAGCATTTTTAGCTGATTATTCTGGTTTGTGATTTTTCTTGTATAATCACGGTCTTCTTAATTGGGATACGATTTGCAACATAAGTGTGTGCTTCCTTTCCTCTGCCATCTGGTTTAGTTTTGGAAGGTGAACTGTTGTAAATGGTGGAAGCTTCGGCCCTAGATCTGTGAGGGTCATAGCTGAAATTTTCGGCTGTTATCTTCCTTATGAGAGCGGCTGAGGAGCCATCTCTTTGTTCTGGAACCTGAATTTCTCTGATTTTATTTGTTAGTTTGTAGGTGTCCAATTTTGTGATTGTTTTGAGGTTGATACTTGAGTAGGTTGTATGTATTCCCCATTTGAAGGATATTGCTATTTTTTCAAACTTTTATAATAGGCTCCAAAAATGATGGGCCTGTTTACTATTGGCGAAGATCATGTGCACCCTGCCTCTTAATTGCCCGGGCTTGCTGGGATATATACAGTAGCATTTTATATTTGTTTGAGCATCCCAATCCTCACCCAGTATTTCTGTTGTCTGCAATATTTCTGAGTTGGAGGCCCAGGTGCCATTTGATTTTCTTAGTGGCCAATTGTAAATGGTGATATGGTTCACGGACTTGGGTGGTGGGGTTTCAGTCGGGGTGGGCTCTTCACTATCTGAGGTTACTATCCCTTGGGGGTTTTCTGTCTGATGTTTGTTTGAGCATCCCAGACCTCACCCAGTATTTCTGTTGTCTGCAATATTTCTGAGTTGGAGGCCCAGGTGCCATTTGATTTTCTTAGTGGCCAATTGTAAATGGTGATATGGTTCACGGACTTGGGTGGTGGGGTTTCAGTCGGGGTGGGCTCTTCACTATCTGAGGTTACTATCCCTTGGGGGTTTTCTGTCTGTATATTTTCCTTGCATACTGTCACCGCAAGTGGATGCTGAAGATAGGGTTCTTCTGGGGTGTTTCCATGCCATTCGTCTATAGTTGTTAACTCTGGATTGGAGGATGAAGTCGGGTCCCTCTGTGGCATTACTTAGGTCATATGGGTCTGCCCAAGCCTTTAGGGTCAGCCCAGAGATGGGCATTTGGTCCTGAGTTTCCGGCGACTGTGAGTATCTCTGACCCTTTAAAGGCTGGGGAGTTTTTGTGTTGGATCTTTTTTTGCCTGAGGTCCTCTCCTTTTGTTCAGGGGGTGCTGCTTTTATCATGTCAGCAATGCATTGTAGTGTTGCTTTAATATCAGCAATTTCTTTCTTTAAAACATGCAACTTATTGAAGATGCTTTGTTTGGATTTGGCTGAGAGGAAGCACTGGTCGCGTAGTTGGGCGTAAAGAATCCTAGTTTGTTTACTCTCGAGCCCTTGAGCACCTTGGGGGCCTATTTTTCTCTCCATATGGTTCTCCTTGGGTCCAGGGGTTGATAGGTTTAGGTGTTTATACAGTGATTCCATAGAGGCAGAGAGAGCCTTCTCTAGGAGTTCTGGGTCCAGAGACCAATTGCCAGTTACTTCTCCAGACTATAGGGTTTTGGCTGCAACCTCCTGGTATATCTGTCTATTACTTATGCCTACATTGTCTATGGTGAATGGGGTACTTGATGTAAATTCCCTTTGTGGCCTTTGATTATGAGAGGAAACATATTCACATTGGCTGATGAGATCTGAGGCCACACAGAAGTCTGCTATTGATTTCTGATTTGGATTTTTCAGAGCTTTTTAAATCTTGCCAAAGGTTTTTTTTGGTCCTAGTGGTGACCATGGTTGTACTCCACAGATTTAGCTTCTTTAGTATCCCCTTCTACTTCTGCAGGTATAAACTTCCACTCAGAGGGAGGAGAATATGGTTAGAAGGTATAAAATTTGGAGAAGAAGCAAAAGGTCCAAAAAATCTGGCCATATGTGAGGACCATTTTTCTTACAAGCAGGCTGACATGAGAGATGGAGGTTGCAGATTCAGTGGAAAAACAAAAGGTATCAAGATTTCAGTCCAGAATCTCTTTTCTAAGACACTGATGGGTGATTTTTTTATTTTTTTTATTTTTAAACAGTTGGCTGAATCCATTATTTGTTACTGGCCATAAGCGGAAACTTGAAGAAGATGATATGTATAAAGTACTTACTGAAGATTCTTCAAAGGTGGTTGGAGAGGAGTTGCAGTGGTAAGTAGATAATGAGTATAGAGTTTGTGTTCTGCAGGATTGTAAAGAAGTCTCCCCCCCCTTTCAAAAATGGTTGAAAGACAGAGAGGGAGAAATTATAAAGTGCCCTCTTGTGCTTTGGCTTCATTGCATTGGGGAGCTTGGTAGGGGGCATACCTTGTGTGCCTATTTCTGATATGTGTCTCTGTACAAGTGTGTGGCATGTTTCTTTCTCTAATAACACTAGAGTGCCATGACTCAATAGCCCTATTTGGAGTTTCTTTTTGCACGTAAGTTCTACCTGTGCGGCGGAGCACTTTAGCTGTGCCTTATCTCACCTCTTCTTTCTGCTCTCTGCATGCAGCAGGTGACTATCTCTAAAGATGTGCCTTCTGCATTTATGGAAATGGCTCTCTTTAGAATGTTAAAATCTTCTATTTCAAGTCTTAAAATTTTGAGGCAAAAGCTTTCCTTAGAAGGCAATTGCCCTCCTGTCTAGAAGGGGAAAACGATCAAGGTGTGTTGGAGTCAGTATGGTTCCCCTTCTTCTTTGCTCATGAAAATTGTATACATGAGGCAACACACCAATATTATGGTTTAGACCATGGCCCTATTCAGGTTTTTATTTCTCTTCCTAAGTAGAGGAAGCTGGGGCTGTGCATTCCAGGCCTTCTCTTCCACTGGTACCTTTATTTGGCTATCTTGGCTGGGACAATCCGACATAAAGATAATCCAGCATAAAATGAAATATGATGAATATGATGAAAAACAGCAACTTTAATCTTGCTTAAATCTGTGGTAGTATTCTGGCCTGTGGGTTTTACTGTCTGATTCCATCATCCCATTTCAAATCTTTTCTGCCTCATGAAAATATTCCTTGTAACGCAAAATTTTATACCTTGCAACATGTGTCTCTGTGTGTCAGTCAGGAGAAACACCTACCAGCTCTATTGTTGTTGTTGTTGTTGTTGTTGTTGCTGTTGCTGCTGCTGCTGCTGCTGCTGCTGCTGCTGCTGCTGCTCATTCTTCAACTAGAATCCATTCAGTCATAGTTGGCTTGCAATTCGGTTTCCTTCTTGCAGAAAGTAAAAATTCTTCCTCTTACAACATATATGATGAACAGTCAAACTGCTGTCTTGTTAAGGATCATAGAGTGTGACACACTAGGCCAGAACTTGAAAAGTTTACTTTTACACATAACACTTTATTGGTTATAGTGAATGAGAGGAATTAATTATTGTTGCTGATTTGAAAATAAAAAAGGCACCATGTGTTATTTCCTACTGTTACATGTTAGTTTAAAATCAATATTTTTCAAGTGGGAATCCTCTGAATCTCTCAAATTATCCCTGGGAATAAGGTTATAAGACATTGACATTAGTTGCTTTTTAAAAAATGGGTAGTCAGTTATTTCCCGGATGGGCCAAAACTGATCGTGAGATAAGATAGTGCTGTGGTTGCTGCTGCAATCTATACAAATTACTATTGGAAAAACAGGAAGCGAAGTACCTAACAAATGCTTTGATACCTGATAAGCATCTGGTTTTGCTTCATCTACATTCTGAGGATAGTGTAGCCTAGACATAGAAGCAGCTTCACCAAAAATAAGGCCTTAGTGGAATTGGAAGGTATACTTTTTTGGCTGCCTTGATCTGTTGCCTGCGTTTGCTTTCCTTTCACTAGTTTTCTCTGACGCCTTCATTTTGGTCTTGTGGCTTATTTGAAAGGTAGCCCATAGTAAGTTAGGGCTTAGGGCAAAGGTTTCAGTTTCCACTGCAACAGAACAGCCCTACAGTTGGGTTCCCTTTGTGCTGACTTATCTTGACCGTATTTAATTTTATGTAATCAGCTGTCCTTCTGTCAAAAACAAACAAATCATATTTTACTGCTGTCACAGACAGAAGAGAAGGCTTCTCTCTGTCTGCCTTAGAAATACATACCTGTCTCATATTCCTGTCTGGTTGATGAATCGACTGTAGCCATTCTGTGGTCTGATCGTATTGTCTTCTCTTCTGAATTGACTCTCTGTCTCTCCCCTGACCTTGACCCTCTTCAACTATCCTTCACTCTTGTGTTTTGTTTCTGTTTTATAGGTTCTGGGACAAAGAAGTGCAAAAGGCTAAGAAAGAAGCAAGGACACCCCATTTAACCAAAGCGATCATACTTTGCTACTGGAAGTCTTACTTGCTTTTGGGTCTTTTTACATTCATTGAGGTAACAGCCCCAAAGAGATGTGCTATAAAAGGACTGCAAGCACAAATACAAGGAATGACCACATGACTTTCTCACACCCACAATCAGTACTTTCCCAGATTCCACTTCCTAAATATGCCCCCAGTCTGCGTTCTCTTTCAGAGTGGTGGGACTGTTATGGCAATGATAGCAGTTTGTTAGCATCTACTTGTGTCTGAGTGTGTAGTTTCAGGGTTGGGCAGTTGTTTTAGGCATCAGCTCCCGGAATCCTAGCCAGCATTGTCCATAGAGAGATATTTTGGGTACTGCCATCGAAAATGTCAAGAAGACCAAATATTTCATTCCAGCCACCTGATAATGGTACACTTGGGGTAACGTATGAGTTAGTAGCATTAATGGAAACAAGTTGTGTGTGAGTGCAACTCACCTTAAAGCCAGAAAGTGTTGTTGCTTTTCTTCACCCAGGCAGACTTCAGAAGCAGCAGTCTTAGTGCACGACTATGTTTCTCTCCTGTCATGGTCTCCACTCAGGACATTTGTGTCTTTGTCAGGCAGGGGGTGGAATGGGAGGCTACAGCACTAAACATGCACTCGTGTCTTTCTACAGCTGGCGTATAAGTTTTAGTTTAGATGGGTAGTATACCTCACATGGCCACCTGTAGACCTTGGCGAGACACACTTTCTATGCCCTGTACCCCACAAACATTTTTTTTTTTGGGGGGGAAACTTGCTTATGCCTTCTAGTGGCCAGTTTAAAAATGAAACAGAATTTGGGGCAATTTGATTTTAGGTCAGATTGGTTTAAATTATGATTTAAACCATGATTTAAATGTTTAAAATTGTATTTTTTTTTGACAATTAAAATTAAAAAAAACTTTTCAAATGTAAATTGTGATTTAAATCAATTGGATTTTTTTTTTAAATTGATTTTTATTCAACCTGATTTGGGGTTGTGTATTGCACACCAGAGATACTGAGAGGCACCAAATCATGACACAATTATGTTTCACATTCTCCAGAAGGCATAAGGTGAGTTCTTGAGGAAACATTCATTAAAGAAAAGTAAAATTTTGATATGTGTGTGTTGGGCTCCAGGGTTGGTGGGTGGGCTGCATGTGGGGTCTAGATGTAACCTGCATCGTCCCTTTCACCAAGCCTGTTCTGTACATTTCCAAGTAGCAGCTGATTATTTAGTAGACTATAGGCTCTCATTTTAAGAGAGGGTTAGTGTGGCACCATGGTGACAGGGAGAATGAGATGTGGACCAGGAACTGCCAGGTTGAAATCTTAACTTTCATTTAAGGCACTGGTTCTTAACCTTGGGTTACTCAGGAGTTTTGGACTGCAACTCCCAGAAGCCTTCACCACCAGCTGTCCTGACTGGGGTTTCTGGGAGTTGCAGTTCAAAAGCATCCGAGTAACAAAGGTTAAGAACCACTGATTTAAGGCATGCCACTGTCTCTCTTAGCCAAGAATTGAATTATTTTCTTTCTTTCTTTCTTTCTTTCTTTCTTTCTTTCTTTCTTTCTTTCTTTCTTTCTTTCTTTCTTTTTCTTTCTTTCTAGGAAACACTCAAAGTAATCCAGCCAATGTTTCTGGGAATGATTATTTCCTATTTTGAAAATGTTGGCTCCAGAGTTGGTGCTGATGGTGGTGCTTTGGCGTCTGCCTATGTCTCTGCAGCAGCCTTATCTGTGTGTACTTTGATTTTGGCTTTGACTCATCACTTGTATTTCTACCATGTACAACGTGCCGGCATGAAGCTGAGAGTAGCCATGTGTCATATGATTTATCGTAAGGTAAGTATTAAAGTGACTCCTTTCTGAAATCAAATATTTTAAATGGCTCACTTGGCCTCAAAAACAGGGGAATAAAATATGTGGATGTTCCCAGAAAGAATGCTTGGATTAGGCTCAAGATGTCTCTTGTTCTACACTGTATCTAAATTCTGATCTGGGAGCAGATCATGAGAGTTGAATTTCTGGGGAGGAAACAGCAAGTTGGAGGAATGCTGATAGCCATTTTGGGCAGCTTGCTACTCCTGCTAACAACTTACAGGCATTTGTTAGAAAAGTATGGACATATTTTATTTATTTTTATTTATTTATTTGATTTTTACCCGACCCCTCTAGACCATGTCTACTCGGGGCGGCTTACAACATTTAAACATTTGCTCATATAGGTAAAAATATGTTAAATGCCTTTCAGAGAATGGAATAAATGTGGGGTAATAGTAGTGTTCCGTGTCTAGTCGCGTTGGCTATGTGACCACGGAAACTGTCTTCGGACAAACGCTGGCTCTACGGCTTGGAAACGGGGATGAGCACTGCCCCCTAGAGTCAGACACAACTGGACTAAAAATGTCACGGGGAACCTTTACCTTTACCTAGTAGTAGTGAGGAAGATGTGTGGAAGCAGAGAGGCTTACTCAAACTACTGTTCTGGCTATTATTTAAAAACAGATTAAACAAAAAAAAATCTGGAAGTATGTAGAGAATAGAAAAAAGTGGCTCTGTGATCTGTGAATAGAAGCAAAGGTTTGCATTCAGTAAGAATGTCATAACTTCACAAAATTTCGTAATTAATTTTAAATAAAGTTTTAAAACACTGTCAATAAAAACGAACAAGGCAAACTTCTATGGTTTCCTGTCTTATTGGGTTGCTGACATTTTGTAATACAATTTGTTGCACTTTGTGCCTTCCTACAGGCTTTTTTGTGGATTACTGTTCAAGTAGAAATGTTTTAAAAAACTAGATGAACAGTTATATGTGTGGTGGTGGAGAAAGATGTTTAGGGTTCTTTACCGAGCTTAGGTTTGCACATGGACTGTGATCTATACCATTATAGCATGGAAACTTTAAAGAGGGGGGGGGAAGTTGCAATATAGGCCTGAGAACGGCCATATTTCATAGGAGGAAAGAGGTTTTGCACGATTCTCAAACTCTTAAGGAATCTTGCATTTGCACAAGCTGCTGGCAGAGGTCTTAAATAGGCACATAGCGTTCAGAATAAGGTTCTAATTACTTTTTCTTCTGTGTTAATGTAGGAGGACTTAATTTATTTTAGTTCTTTTCTAAAAAAAAAAAGGTATTGCTGAAGACCTGGGCTGTTTTTTCCAATTTCTGCAACATTATGGTGGGAGTTGCTGGAATTTTCTTTGAGTGTTTTTGAAAATTCTGGAGTTTTCCTCAGCTTCCAGGTACAGTGGACCCTCGACTTACAGACGGCTCGACTTACAGACTTTTCGAGTTGCAGATTTCTCTGGCTGCAAAATTTAGGTTCGACTTGCAGCCGGAGAATCGACCTACAGACCAGAAAAAACCAAAATGCAACAAAAATGGCCGGGTATGGCATTAATCGGTTTTCAGTGCATTGTAGGTCAGTGGAGACTCGACCTACAGATTTTTTGACCTGCAGCCACCGCTCCAATACGGATTAATTCAGTAAGTAGAGGGTTCACTGTAGATAGCTAGAACGCCTAGATGTCTGTAGAAAGTTGGCTTTGCAGCCATCTGGGCATGATCTGTGGAGCTGAACACTTGGGTTTGTGTGTGTCAGCTATTTCTGTAGTCATTTTGGGAAGACTTGGTTTGTTTATTGTACATGTAGTGGCTCACTGTTCAGATTACCTAGGAAATAATCTCTCAGGAGCTTTGTAATAGTGGAACATATTGATTTCTTGTACATAAAGATGTCTCTGAGGTATTCATTTGTTGTTCCAGATACCTACACACAATCTGTTATGGGATTAATAAACAGCCTGGGCTGCTAATGCTGTTTGCTGTAGACTCAATAGAAAATATAGAAAGGCAAATTCATTTGTAGTATACCCTTGTCCCTTTATTGTTACTTTATTTCTTTGTTTCCTATCTGTCTGTCTGTCTGTCTGTCTGTCTGTCTGTCTCTCTCTCTCTCTCTCTCTCTGTGTGTGTGTCTGTGAGAGAGAAGGGGGAAGAAAGAGATGGAACATCTACATGATATTCTTACCGGTTGAAGCAGAGGACTATCTTATTTAACATGAATTGTCATATTTACCTTTTCATTTATTGCAAAACATAGTATTAAGACTTATTCTTAAGAATGTAGTCATGATATTAACTAATAGGTTGCACATTTTCTGGTAACATATGTTGGCTGAAATCCTTTTGCTTAGCATAGTAAGTCACACAAGAAAGGTCAGTTAAATCATCAGGGATTTGGTGAACTAACTCCTCTGTAAATTCCATGGATTCAAATAGGCCCAGTCTAGTTGCCCCTTACTGTGGTAAGCAGCAGGATTTCAGCCACTGCTGTATTGCATGTTTGAAATTTATTGCTTTAAGTTAGAAAATAATAATTTTTGGCTAACAGTGGCATTGCAGCTTAATTCACTGCATATATCTTCATATGTTCTTATGAATTACATGACTTAACACCTAAATTGTTTGGGAACAGTCATGCTGATAGGGTTATCTATACAGTATGTTGCTTTTGGAGATGATGTGTGTAACGCCAGCATTTGTGCTTCTGGTGGTCTCTTGCACACGATCCTTTGCTCTGAATAAATGCTCTATTCAGCACCCTTCAGACAAGCTTACCAAAACATGAGAAGCACTTCATTCCGGTATAGTCCTATACTGCTGGAGCTTGTGGGTAAATAAAGAAACCATGTGGGCAAGCCATTTAATATTTCCCTGTTATTCATTAGCTGGAAACCTGTTTGCCTAGGTGTAATGTAAAGTTATGCCTGTGTAACGTTGCAAGATGTTACGCCCAAGGAACACACACTGAGCAAATCAATTGTGCAGTTGGTCGTGCTGTTCCCATTGGAACCAATCATGCAATGTGCCTTCATAAGTCCTTTGTGGATAGTACTTCCGCCTCCGTGCGATTATGTCAAGACTGACAAAATGGCCTGTTGAACACCAGAGAAAATCTACAAGCGACACTACCCAAAACTTACCTGATTCGGAGGGAGAAGGGACTGTCAAAGATCGGCAATATTTCTGCTTTTATAGTTTTTGACTCTTTTCAAAATATGTATTTTAAAAAATCTATAAGCTCTTGTATCTGGGGTTGAAAATGTAAATTGTTGTCTGTCAATTTCTTAAACAGCAAGAAGCTCTTACAATTTATTTATTTAGAATATTTTTACCTTGCCTTTCTCCTTTAAAAGGACCTGAAGTGGCTTACATCATTGAAATACAATATTTAAAACTGAAAATAATAGTGCACAGTGGTGGTTTATATCTTTAAAAGACAATATTTAAAGCTAAGAACAATGAGTATAAAGAGGCAGCTTACGTCATTAAAAGACAATATTAAAGCTTGAAATTGAAATATATTTTCTGGCTTAAGTATTTGCTTGCTACTTAAGCCAATCTTTTAAAGCATTTGTATCCTACAGCTTTTGCTCACAGCTGTAAGAATGATAATCAGAGGTCACATGCCTTCAACTTCTTAAAAAGTTACATGTTTTCAATAAACTTTTGGATTTTTGTGCATAAAAGAAATGTAGATGAATAAAGCTTGTAGAATTAAATAGGCTAGTGTTGCTTGGACTCAAAACAGTGGTTTATTCCCATATTCTGAAGAGAGATGGAGCAAGTTTGGAAGCTACATTTTTTTTTTGCAAGCCAGGCAGGAGTAAGGAAGTGACTTATCCAGTGGCTCCAGTCCTTTCTGGAGGAGAGAACTCAGAAAGAGGTGCTGGAGGGATTCCTGTTCGACAACATGGCCTCTGGGATCTCTCAGGGTTTTGTCTCCTATGCTATTTAACATCTACATGAAACTGCTGGGATAAGTTGTACAGAGCTTTAGGGTTTGGTGTCAGCACTATGACACCCAAGGCTACCTTTCCTTGTCATCTAAAGCTGTTTCGGCTCTAGATCAGTGTCTTGTATCAGTAATGGACTGGGTGAGGCCAAATAAACTGAGACTTAATCCAGACAAGACAGAGGTGTTCCTGGTCAATTGGAAGGCAGATGAGGGAATAACAATGCAGCCTGTGCTGGATGGCGTTACACTCCCCCTGAAAACGCTGAGCCTGGATACCCAGGTTTTGGCAGTGGCCAAGAGTTCATGTACACAAGTAAAACTAGTGAACCAGTTGCACCTGTTTCTGTAGAGATCTGATCTGCTACGGTGAAACTAGGCCCAGCTGGTTCACTGTAATGTGCTCTATGTCGGGTTTGCCACTGGACAGTGTCAGGAAACTTCAGCAGGCCCAAAACATGGCAGCCAGATTGCTGACTGGGGCTGGTTACGGGGATCACTTAACCTTTCTATTACAGGAGCTGTTACAACCACCAAAGTGCTGGTTCTAACCCTGGGGTCCCCATCCCCTGGTCTGTGGCTCAGTGCCAGTCTGTGGGCTCCGTGGAACTGGGCCATGGAGACGGATCTCTGCCTCCCTGCCTGCCCACACGGTGGGTGTGTCGTGCTCGCAGGGGGGCATGTCACACTCGTGGGGAGTGTGGAATAACACAGCTGCACCAGTCTTCTCCTTCTTCCTCCACCACCTCCTCTCCCTTTTCCACCGCTGCCAGCAGCGGTAGTTTCTGCCACCCGCCTTTCAACAAGGCCTCACTGCCCTCGTCTTCGCCGCTGCCTCTCGTGGCCACCTCGCTCAGCGGCTGCTCTTCTCTCCGCACTGCGGGTGTCAAAAAGCCGCCTAACCCATTGCATCACGGAATTGAAGGGGAAGGTGGCAGTGTCTGTGGGGGGGACAAAGCAGAAATCACGGGAAGAGACTCCTTGTCTTCCTCCCCATTGGTCTCCCTCCCTGCGCTCATTGGCTCGCTCTTTCTCCCCCTCCCCCTCCTCCTCTCCCAAACTGGCAGCGACGCTTGTGCCTTGTCACCCAAGGCGTGGGAACCAGGGTTGGGAAAAGGCGGGGCTGTTGAAGGGAAAAGCCGCTTTCCTGACAGCTGTGACATGACAACGGGGGAGGAGAGGCAGGGTGGATGGGAAGCGGGATACGGTTATTCGTTTGTAAGCTTGCTTATAAATAGAGACACCGGGTACTGAAGCGAGGAGGGGGAACAGATGCAATAAAAATCATGGGAGGCAAAAGAAGGAGGAGCTAAGGAGAGTGGAGGCGTGCATCCTGAGGACTGGGCCAAGCAACCACTCCAAGGCAGGAGTGGGGCGGCGGGGACTGAAGCAGCCAAGCACGGTCACTTGTCACGGCCATTTCTTAGTAACCCAGAAAATTGGCTTGTGTGGCAGTACGACAGGATTAAGAGACAAGGCTGGGCCAGTGCAGGGAAACCTGATGGATGAAGAGGCATGGCCTCAAGCGCTGGAGGGGAAAGGAGGAATGGCTAAGCTGAGGTAGTTTTGGACTCTAAAGCCGCCTGGCATGGGTGCAAACGTGACACGACCCCTGCGAGCATGACACTCCCCCTGCGTGAGCGTGGGGGTGCCCCCCCACAGAGCCCGCCCCCCAACCGGTCCGTGGTCCCAAAAAGGCATGACACGACCCCTGCAAGCGTGACACCCCCCTGCGTGAGTGTGGGGGTGCCCTCCCACAGAGCCCGCCTCCCAACCGGTCCGTGGTCCCAAAAAGGTTGGGGACTGCTGTTCTAACCTATAGAGCCCTAAACGGCTTGGGTCCAAGCTAACTCAAGGACTACGTCTCTCTTTATGATTCTGTTTGAGTGTTAAGATCATTGGGAGAGGTCTGAGGATCAGCCCTGCCACCTTCACAGGAACATTTGGCAGGGACACAGGAGAGGGCGTTCTTGCTCCCAGACTTTGGAACTTCCTCCCACAGGAGGCAGGTTGGCCTCATCTTTGTTGTCCTTCCACAAGCTAGCAAAAACCTTTCGCTTCATTCAGGCTTTCTCTCAGTGTCTGGCTGCCTCAATGGGATTTTTAAATGGATTCTTGTGCTTTACTGCTTTGAATATGATTTTAGTATTGCTTTTGTTTACCATGTCTTATATACAGTAGTTACTGTTTTTAGCTTTAAAATATTGCCTTTTAATTATGTAAGCTGTCTTCATATACACCCTTTTTTAGCTTTAAATATTGTAATGATATAAGCCAACTTGAGTCCTTTTTAAGGAGAAAGGCAGATTAACAATATTTTAAACAAACAACACCCAGATACGAATGACAGAGCTAATCTGATTTCACTCTGAAATTAACCCTTTCAGGGACAAATGTCAGCCGCGATGGACCAACACAGACTCGAAACTACTAGAGGTGTTCTAATCTCAAGTTATGCAAGTATGCATACATTTCAGCCAATGTCTTCCCTCCCGGTTGGGAAAGAATTCCATAGAAAAGACCACATGGCTCCATCCATGTGATAGCTTAATTTGTGTCCATTACACAGTAGTGTCAGGTCAGCCATAGGAGGATGGGACCCATAACCATTTATGTGAAGAAGTCTGATTAATCTTCTGACAATGTTAAATGTTTTGTGCACCTTGAAGACAGAGTAAGACTCTAGAGAGAATTCTTTGTGTGCTTAGTGCATGTACATGATAGGTTTTTACCTTAATATGTTCCATCAAATGATGAACAATGGGTTTCTGTGGTGGAGTGATGTTTCCTTTACAAGCTAAAAAAACCAGGATCTTGATCAGTGAACTGGCTCTCAGACTTGCCAAGGACTAGGAGTACAGGTTGTTCCACAGCTGAAAGTCCGGCTGTGCTCTCAGTAGTACTCAGTGGTGCTCACTACTACTCAGGGAGTACATCACTGTATGAACGATAAGGAGTTCTGTTTTTCAGAATGTTGCCAGCATTGTCATGTGAAAAGTACAGGCAGAAAAACTGATCTGATTCCCAGCACTTTGTTTTTATGTGAAACAAACTCCTCAGAAATACCTTTATAATGGTAGCATTTATGTTTGTCTCCATCTTCAGGCACGTGTAACCTCTGTCTGTAAGATGTGCAGTGGGGACTTAATACAGCTGTATCAGTGCAGTTTCATATCTGTGGCATTACAACTGTGCTGGGAAAACATATCCCAGCTACTTAAGGATAGTTCATCAGGATGAAACTGGTGGTCAAACTAGACAATAAGTCCAGTGCTCTTAATGTCTACTTTATAGTTTGGCATTTTCCTCCCACAACATCAGCCTTTGCATCAGATCTGCACATTTTACTTGTGTTTACTTTACAGTGATCAATCATAAAGCAAAACATGCTGAATGCAACATGTGCACGTGAGCAAAAGCTGATGCTATGATGAAGCAGTATCGTTTACCTTGTGATGGAGAAAACGTCTTCTAAATATGTGAATTTCAAGCTCATTATTTTGACCTTAGGTAAAGGTAAAGATTCCCCCTTTAGTCCAGTCGTGTCCAACTGTAGGGAGCGGTGCTCATCCCCATTTCCAAGCCATAGAGCCAGCATTTTATCCGTAGACAGTTTCCGTGGTCACGTGGCCAGCGCGACTAGACACACAAATCTGTTGCCTTCCTATCAAGGTGGTACCTGTTTATCTACTCGCATTTTACATGCTTTCGAACTGCTAGGTTGGCAGGAGCTGGGACAAGCGACGGGAGCTCACTCCGTCGCATGGATTCGATCTTACAACTGTTGGTCTTCCGACCTTGCAGCACAGAGGCTCCTGCGGTTTACCCCCCAGCACCACCACGTCCCTTTTAAGGATGTCTAGATTATTCTTTTAAGTTATTCTTTTAGTGAGTTGGACAGCTCAGTGAGATTGGTATCTGGCTGCAAAGCCAGAGGTTGAGAGTTTGATTTGCCACTGTGCCTCATGGGAGAAGAGCCATCTTGTATAAACTTGGACAAGCTGCATAGTCCTAGGACTGCCGCCACCACCACCCCAGAAGAAGGAAAGCATAAAACACTTCTGAACTTTTTGCAGGGTGGATTTGATTTAAATCAAGTTGATCCACAATTTAACATCACCACAGACAATTGCAAATCAAATAACTGATTTTTTAAATCTGTTAGACAGAATATTAGAAGAGATAGAAATATTCTTTACAGAAGACAAAGGAACCACATAAACTCAGGCTACAATTCAAGAAATGCTAGATCCTATTTTCAAAACTTTTTAAATAATTAAATGAATATGTTGTCTCATAAGATTAGAATTGATCACCTATATTTCTTAATTAGATATTTGAGCTAGAGCATATTTTAATTAATTAAATTAATACTATCATTGTGTGGGGATTTTTTTTTAAAAAAAAACAGGAAATGTGTTAACAATACAAATGTAAAAATATTATTTTTTTTAAAATCTGGGTTTTTATTTCTCATTATGTGTTTTTTAAAAGTTGATGTTACTCACGCTACCTTCTACATGGTTTGCTCAGTGATACTTGATGAGTGCAACTCAAGGGTATTCACCAAATGTATCCAAACAAGTTTGGAAATACTGTTGTAAAATACATTGTAAAATACAACGATTAAATGTGGATCTCTCTTTCTAAGGCACTTCGTCTAAGTAACACAGCCATGGGGAAAACTACAACAGGCCAAATTGTAAATCTTTTATCAAATGATGTGAATAAATTTGATCAGGTAAGCCCCATTGATGGTTGCCTTTATTTTACTTTCATTCATTTTGATAGTGACTTGTGTTTCTTAGCCAGAGAAGGTAAGTTAAAAGTTTTTGAATTTCTCTAAAACCACTTCCTAAATATCTCACTTACCCTGAACCTATTAGGGTCACTGCAAGTCAGATGTGATTTGATGGCACATAATGCACACATGCAAAATGGGGTATGGATGTGATGTGTTTTCTAAGCCTGTGTTCTCAAGACTATCAATGTATTGTGGATTTTAATGGGCTGTGAATTGCAGGCAGCAGATGTGCATTTGACTTAGGTTAGGAGGAATAATTTATTGTCCATGATCTAAATAAGAATCTGTGGTTTGCAAAGTTTGGTCATAAGACTTGTATTATTTTTTTTAAAGGGTTGACAATGCTGTTAATCATCCCAGCTTTGGAAAGCTGCCAGGGGTGTCTGTGATTCATCCAAGGTTGTTACAGTGATAACTGGAGGACAGTTAGTTGGAAACAAGCAGGATAAGCTGTTAGGCCAGGGAAGACAGGCATTAATTGACTACAACAATATCTTATTCATATGCAAGTATTTTCAATTAATCTTTTAAGTACTGGCAGAGAAGCTTGCAGATGTTACTTTCCTGAACTGCCTCTTCCAGAATTTCCCCAAATACTATATTGAGTTTTAGTTTTGAAAAGTGGTTCTCGCTAAAGTTTCCAAGCTGAGCTTGAACTGCTGCACTTATTTTATTTTTTGTTACTGCTTCTCATGCTTCAAGGACATAGAATCATGGAATAATGAAGTTGGAAGAGGCCTATAAAGCCATTGAGTCCAACCCCCTGTTCAGTAAAGGAATCTAAATCAAAGAGGATCTGACAGATGGTTGTCTTATTTTCTCTTGAATGCCTCCAGTGTTGGAGCGCTTGTCACCTCCCAAGGTAACTGGTTACTGCTCTAACAGTTAGGACGTTTTTCCTGATATTCAACTGAAAGCTGTCTTCCAGTAAGAAGAGCCCATTATTATGTGTTCTGCACTCTGGGATAATCAAGAACAGATCCTGTCCCTCCTCTGTATGACTACCTTTAAAGTATTTGAAAAGTTCTATCATATCTCTCCTCAGTCTTTTCTCAAGGCTAAACATTCCCAGTTCTTTCAGTCTTCCCTCATAGGGCTTGGTTTTCAGTCCCTTCATCATCCTTATTGTTCTCCTCTGAACTTGTTCCAGTTTGTTGGCATCCTTCTTAAAGTACAGCATTCAAAACTGGACACAGTACTCAAGATGAGGCCTAACCAGTGTTGAATAGATGGGAACTAGAACTTGATGGGATATAGAGACATTAATGAATACTAAAATGCCATTGCCTTTTTTACAATCACTTTGTACTCTTGGCTCATATTCAGTTTTTGATCAACTCCAAGATCCTTCTTGATTATATTATTATTGATTCAGATACCCTCCAGCCTGTGATTATGAGTTTGTTTTTCCCCCCATCAGTGTAGAACATTTCACTCATCCCTATTAAATTTCATTCTTTTTTTGTTCAAGCCAGTGCTTGGGCTTTTCAAGATCTATTTGAATTACCCCCCCTGTCTTTCAGGATATTATCTATTCCATCCAATTTTGTGTCATTCACAAATCTGATAAGCATTCCTTCCACTCCTTCATCTAGGTCATGAATAAAAGTGTTGAAAATTACCGGTCCTGGGACTAAGCCTTGTGATACCCCACTTGTTACCTCCACCCAGTTTGAGAAGGAGCCATTGATATGCATTATCTGAGTACAGTTCTGTAGCCAACTGTGTATCTAACATGACACTTGTTCTGTCCAGCCCACGCTAGTTAGTTTGCTGATCAGAATATGACCCTGGCATTCAGATTGCTTGTGTATCAAGAGTTCTGGCTTACATTAATCAATTTGCATAAGGCCTCTTCTATACTAACAGTGAAAGCACCACGTGGATGTCATTGTGTAGGGGCTAGGTGGGCTAAAGATAACGATGAGACAGAGAGAAGAGTCATTCTTTTCAGTCTTTCTGGGCTCAGGGCTAACCAGTAGCATGAAGGCTGCAGGAAGGAGTCATTGTGTCACCTGAGCACTATTGTGTCTTATTTTTGAATCCTGTCCTAAACTGACTTCTAGTTTCTGTCCTGGCTGTTTCTGTCCTGGTTGTTTCTGTCCTTCACTGTGGAATAATTGAGCACAGGAAAAAATGGGGCATATTATTGTGACGGAAATTGGGCTGAGGTGGCTAAACTCATACTTTTTTTAATCCCTGCTCTTCCCTCTTAAATACAGTAATTCCCTCAGAGACTTAAATAGCTAATTTTGAACTCAAGTCAAGAATATAAAATTGTGCCTCTTATGCTTTCACAATAGTTAATAACATTAATTTATTGATGAAATCTGCATGCTCAATCAACTAGTGTGTGTTTAAGGAAGGATTTAACACCCTGTTGGCAAACACTTGTTGGTGTAACTTTGTGTGACATTACCCAGATCGTTGTGTCAGAAACATTTAATTTGAAGTAATTGAAAGCTTCCTTACTTTTAGGTTCTGAGACTCCCCAAGGCGCCCTTTTGCCCTAAGAAGCCTTTGAAGCCTTGGGATGGAGGGATGGGACTTTGATATTAAAAATCGCTGCCAGCAGTCCCAATCTAGTTTATTGATCTTAACTTTCTTGGCCAGCAGGTTGCATTTTCTTGGGTCCCTCCCATCGCCCCCAACCTTCTTTCAATTTCAGCCTTTTCTGAGAAGTCAGTTAAGCTGTACCAGGTGTTGTATCAGGAAGCAGGCAGAGTTAAATCACAACATACTTGGTACTGTGTAAAGTTTGAACTTCGCAGTACTTGGTTCAGCTTGAGTGTATAAGACCTGTTCTGCTATTCACTACTGAAATGAGCTCGCCACACAAGCAAGAACCAATTCTTACTTGTGTGTAGAGCCGAAGTATGAACAAGAAAATTTCCTGCAGATGTGGCACCTTTCCATGTGTAAAAAGTGATGACAGATTGGGAAAGGACTAATTAATCTTCTCTAAGCACAGTGAGCTTACCTGATTAAGGAAAAACTGAACAGGTCTGTAGGAATTTGTTCTTTTCCCCGTGGTATGGAATGCTTATAATAGTAAACATCTGTTTTAAATATTTGTTTTTCTGTCCCTCAACTTTGCAAGCCTCAGGCAAGTGCCTCACTTACCTCATTCTTGTTCTGGCTTTGCATTCCTTTACCAGTCAGCCTCTAGCGTTAGACATGGCTGTCAGCTGGTTGATGTACTATCTATAGATTGCTGTGGAACTGAAAGGAAGAGCAGGGTTTGAGGTGATGCTGCTTTTTTGAGTCTTTGTTACTTCCTTGGACATCTGCAGGCAGACCGAGATTGCAAATGGAGTAATGGTAATATTTTGCTAGATTATACAGGAAAAACAGTGAAGCTATACCTTCTTTCTGGACTGTGTGGCAGCTGCGCCACATTTTCTTTGTGCTTTATATTGCACCTGAAGTGACCTGCTGAAACAGAGTCCCAAAGTTATTGAACTGCTGAAAATCCAGTTATGGTCATATGCAACATCTGCCTCACCCTGAGAAAGCATCACTTTCTGGGTATAATTTTAAAGGAGGAAGAGAGAGAGTGTGTGTGTTAGCCTGAAGATGCATTCACATATCATTAGTGCCCATATTCTCTCTATTTAAGTATTCTTTTCTTTAAAGGACTTCCAGCTACTCCTATGTTCAGTGTAAGTTGCTTTCTTTTCTATAGTTCCATACAGACACAGGTAGAAATACACATACAAATGTGTCTTTCTAGTTCATGCCAGACTACCTCCAAGGTTCGTAGACATACAGTACCTGAGCCCAAGTACTATCATGTGAGTGGAATTTGCTGTCATGGTTAAAAGTGTGAACCTGACCTGTGGCTCTCATAATTTTCAGTCAATATGAACTGCTGCTTTAATTTCTGTGTTTCATATACTATTTTCTGGTTGTGCAGGTGACGATATTCTTGCATTACTTATGGGCTGGACCTCTTCAAGCAATAGTGGTAACTGCCTTACTTTGGCTTGAAATTGGCCCATCGTGCCTTGCAGGAATGGCAGTTCTTATTATTCTGCTTCCTTTGCAAACCTGCTTTGGGAGGCTGTTCTCCTCTCTGAGGTAAGAAGTCCTTTTTGTAACTTCTATCTTTTTTTCTCTCTCTTAAGTATAGAATGGTTACGGTACAGTAAAGGGCTGTGATCATGCTGTAGATGTCACTAACTTTTGTTGTTTGTATGCTTGAGTGTGAAGTTTCAAAACTATGAGTGCATGAAATCTGGTGCCAATTGAAAGGGTGAGAGTAGGGGGAGCCAGAATTCATTCTCTGCGATATTCAGTCTTCTCTCATTTGGAATATAAGGTTGTTATACCTGCTGGTAAAGAAATGTCCCTTCAGTCTTGGGAAAGGACAGGTTTCCCCCCCTTTTCCCGAGAATTGTTTTCCTTAAAGTGACCCTTAAAAGCATTAAATATGTTGATGATTAGTCTTGGTATATAGATCATAGTGCAAAGCTTCTTGGACTGTAAAGATAGTTAAATGTGGTGTGGGACCTCGAAATGTCAAGGGATGAGAAATGCTAATGGATCTGTGAACAAACAAGTGTAGTGGAAATGGAAATTGAACTGAACTAATGTGCTTCTCCTCAGCTTTCAAAAACCGTATCAAGATTAAGCATTTTGCATTTCTGAGGCAAATTACTTACATTATTTGCAGGTTCTATTATTGTAAACATTCAGATCACAAGTGCAGGCATCAAGCTAAGCTTTTCCTTTCTTGAAACCCTTCACATTTAGCTTTCACACTGATGAAACTGTTAGAAGCTTTGGGAGAGTCTTCAGGTGAACTGGAGAATCTTTCCTGGAAGTGGTCCTTCACTGTTGGAAAAATGGGAAAGCTTTTCACAAACCACAGCTCAAAGATTATAATGAAAAAAGTAGTTGGAATTTCGTCTCAAATAATTGTGGATGGTAATGTGTAACAGGGGTAGTCACAGTGTCTGAATGAAGATCTTTGTATCAATTAGCTTTGCCATATCAGCATTTATGCTTAAAGATGGGGGTATTCGTATACGAATCTCCCCCCACAGGTGGAGATAACGAGGGTCCACTCATGATTCTGCCACTGCCGTGAGCTCCAAAGAGCATTCCTATTGCTCTGTTGCTTGTAATAGATTAGCCACTCTGTGACCTGGCAGAAAGGCTCATCATCCCACCTTCTGCCAGGAGTGGCTAATCTATCATGAGCAACAGGGCGGTAGGAAGGCTCTGTGGAGCTCACAGCAGCAGTGAAATTGGGAGTGGTTGGTCTGGCCCCAGGGGGCCAGACCCATGTTATCTCCACCTGTGGGGGGATATTCATGCATGAATACGAATACCCCAATCTCTACTTATATTCTGTTTATTTATTTTCATTAGAAAGCTAATGGCAATTTTGAAACTAGTTTTACTCTCTTAGTTTATTATATTTCATCTACCCCATCCTTTTTTCTAATTGCTAAATGCAGCATATGCTGTATATTCCCAATTGTATTCTCCTAATAATCCTGTGACCTAGGTTAAGCTAAAGGATTATGCACTTTTCAGATTTTGGTTTGTATTCTGGTTTCCTCTGTCCCCTGTTTTCTCCACTGCACCGCACTGCTTCTCTACTCAGAACAAAAGTGCCCACCTCCCTAAAATAAATATATTAAAAATCTACTTCACAGCTGAATGTCTAAGTAAACATGTTCTTGCCCAGCTTCTAAAACTCTGTGTGGTTGATTTGCGAGATATACTGCTGGAAGGGGAATTCCAAAATTGTGAAATATTAAACCTGGCTGTTTGTTTACCTATCTAGAGCCTAGTTCTCAGCATTCTATCATCTTTAAACCTCTGTATCAGAACAGGTCTCTGTCTTAATGGCTTGAGCATTTCAGTGCAAAATTTGACCTCTTTACATTCGTATGCACACATGAACAACGGTCATCTATTTCAGCGGAGCAAAGTAAAGTGCTGTAGGTGGAGAGGGGATCCAGGTGGTGGTACTGTAGAAAAGAGGGCAAGCCAGACTTGTGAGTGCGAATTGTGGTTTATAGCAGAAGCAAGAGTGTTGCCTCCAGGGACCTTGGGCAGCCTTCCCTCTATAATGAGTTCCCAATAACTTGGAGCAGGCACAAGTCTCTCTCTTTGCCAAGTCGCCCACCTTCCCCTTGAAGGGAGGGAGGGAGGGATGTGTTAATGTTCCATCTGGGCTTCCCAGTTCCTCTTTACTGCTGTTGTCACTGGCTGCTGATGTTTTGTTTTTCAGTCCTTAAAGACAGTGAAGTATATGTTGGGGTTAAGGCCAAATGATGCGCTAATTTATTTATTTGTACAATTTATTTTTTTCAATATCTTTTGTATGTTGTCGATGTGTAAAGTTGTCTTCATTATTCAGTTATACAATAAAAAAAACCCAGCACCTAACTGTGTCTTGATGATCACTGTGTGTTTCCTTGTCAATATTACAGGAGCAGGACCGCAGCCTTCACAGATATAAGGATCAGGACGATGAATGAGGTTATAACTGGAATGCGGATCATAAAGATGTATGCCTGGGAAAAATCATTTGCTGATCTTGTGAACAGCATGAGAAGGTGATTTTATGGCCCGCTGAAATTCACACATACCTCCATTTGAAAATGCATATCATAATGCACACCATAATATGTATTTTGCAGTGAAGGATACCCTTCGAGTGCTCAGAGAGTTCTTAACCCTCCTTCTTCTCCTAGTATTGCTGTGTACAGGTACTGCCATTCCCCACTAGGTATCCACCCCCCCCGCTCTATTGAAGGTTACGTTGCGGTTAGGTACCCCAGCAAATGGCCCAAGGATTTGCCTAATGAATATTGAACAGTAGGATACTGTGTTAATTTGGACATGAAGTCTAAGACTAATGATGTTTAGTTAAGTTAGTGGTATTCAAAATACTTTTTGAGTGATCCAGTTGTGCTTTAAAGAAAGATGGTGGAATTCTGTGGGTCTGGAGGCCAATTTTATCTCAGACACTGGAGGGAGGATTCATCACAGAATGTGACACTGAAAAATGGTGGAACAGCAATAACAACAACAAAAAGCCACTATGCAAAACAAATAAGTTAAATAGCAGCCTTCACTGCAACTACTGTACTACATTACTGGAATTTAGAACTGTTGTGAGGGGGTGGTGTGGCATGATTTATTGGTACTGTATAGATTATATAATATTGCAGTTAGTTCCAATGAGGAAGACAAGCTGCTCTGGCTCATTAGATAGCTTATCCTCCAACGTAAGTAGCATGTTGACTTCTCTAGCATGTGGCAAGAGCAGTGGAACCTAGGAATCAGCTTCTTTTAAATCTATGGTTTAGATTTTATGTAGCCTTCCAGATCAGCTCCAAATGAATACCTTCTGTAAAGGCCTTAAACAAATGTTTCTGGAGCTCTTCCTGTGAAATTATAGTAGTGCAACGGTATCAGCAGGAATGAAATAAAGGTCAAGCTTGATGGTCTTGCTCAGGAGGAAAGGGCCAAAGGATGGCAGGAAGCAGCAGTAGGAACTTGTTGATGTTGTATTGAAATAAAGGTAAAATACATCTCTTTGTATGTGTGTTTGTGTGTCATTAAGTCAGAACTGACTAATAGGGTTTTCAATCTAAGTGAGATATTTAAGGAGTGGTTTTGCCTGTTCCGTTGGCCCAGTGAGTTTCCACAGCTGAGCGGGGATTCAAACCCTGTTCTCCAGAGTCTTAGTCTGTCACTCTGTCTACTAATATTGCATTTGAAATCACACACATCCGTTTGTAGGCAGCACAATTTAACTGCTAAATTCTGGTAACAAAGATTTTAACTATATCATATTTTTTTTGGTCACAAGAAAATATCTAACAAGTTGAGGGCAGAAAACTTTTGTTGATAGCCTGAATGGCCTGTTTCCTTCTAATACGTGTAATTATGATATTGTTACCTGTAAATAAGGATTATAATTTTTTCATATGAAGAAGCTGAAATATATCATCATCTTTTAAAATACGACAAGTATAAAAGGCAATGAAGGTGCTCTTCAACTTGCCCGTCTCAAAAAACTGAAAAAGCATATTTCCAAAGAGTTAACCATGTTAAATCTCTTGCATAAATAAATTCAAGAAATATCTTGCTGCACTTTAGAGACCTAAATTTAAAACTCTAATTTAGCAGTTGTTTAAACAAATATTATTTTGGACTAAAGAAAAAGTCAAAAGTAAACTCTTGCTTTTGGCAAAATCTTTATCACCTCTCGTCCATTCTTAAGTGCAGGTAGGTGAGAGCTCTCCTCTTAAATTGATTTATGATGACCAGTGTTCAAAACGTGGCTCTGAACAGTTGTGGCCAACTGAGTATTTTATTTAGACATGTTAAAAATCAGATACGGAATTATTGCAGCTCTCTATTTTTGTTGACATTTCAGGAAGGAGATTTCCATGATTCTTAAGAGTTCCTATCTTCGGGGAATGAATTTGTCATCTTTCTTTGTGGCCAGCAAAATAACAGTGTTCATGACGTTCATGACCTATGTGTTGCTTGGCAATGTTATCTCTGCAAGTCGGGTGTTCGTCGCGGTGTCCTTGTACAGTACAGTGAGACTGACGGTCACTCTCTTCTTCCCGGCAGCTATTGAGAAAGTATCTGAAGCTTTGATCAGCATTCGACGAATCAAGGTATTGACAAAAAAATTAAAAATAAAAATGAAATGCTGGGTTCTGTGGAAGTACTTAGTTGCATCGTTACAAATAATCCACAGCTTACTAACGAACACTTATTCCTTTGTGGTCTACAAGAGGCAGAGAGAAATATGGGAAATTCATACATATTTGTTTTGTCTGATTGCTTAAAAGTGATTGTTAGTTGCCATGGCTGAATGGCTGTTTCCAAACATGATATATTTTGCTTTTTATATCTCAACTAAGTCCATCAGGACAAGTGAATAAAGGAAAGAGTATATTGAATCTAAACACATGATAACTTTACAGAAGCTTTTCTGACTCCTGCCTTCTCCAGCTCTCCCTGTAGACGATCAGGCTAATAGCTCTGTTGCTGTTCTTGCAGAAGGCCAGGGTATGCTCAAAAGCATGGCTTCCTAGGCCTCCTCAGCTGATCAGAAGAAGCGGATTTATTCATTCTCAGAGTGGCACAAGCTCAAAATGATGAGAATAACAGCAGAATTCTATACTCAGATATAAGTGCTATTGAGTTCAGTGGGATTTACACTCATGAAAGTGGGTGTAGACCTGTAGTCTCAGCCACTCACTCGTCTTATGCTGGGGAGAGTCACAAACACTGCCTTCTGAGAATGGAGCAACTACATACATACCATATTTCCCCCAAAAGAAGACAGGGTCTTATACTAATTTTTGCTCCAAAAATGCATTAGGGCTTATTTTCAGGGGATTTTTTTCATGTACAACAATCTACATTTATTCAAATACAGTCATGTCATCTTCTGGAGGGCAAGGTTTCACTTAACTGGGGCTTATTTTTGGGGTAGGACTTATATTATGAGCATCCTGAAAAATCATACTAGGGCTTATTTTCAGGTTAGGTCTTATTTTTGGGGAAACATGGTACATACATACATACATACATCTGCATTGCTTTCTTCCTGGTCATGATTCATATTCCCATTTTGGTTATTATGAGGGACTCAGCTCACAAAATCTTCTGTGTTAATTGCTTTGCTTCTTTTCTATTGCAGTGTAAAAATTAATAATATTTGCTAACTTCTATCACAGTACCATTGTTGCATGATCCACATCATATGTCATGCTGTTTCAGAGGCATGTACTGTTGAACTGTTTTTGGAAGAAGCCTTAACTGATTGTTAGACAAGTTTGTTACATGAGGAAATCTGGAATGGGTGACAGCATCCATTCTGTGATATCCAGTGTGAAAGAGTGTTGATTTTTCTGGGCCATTTTTCTGGTGTGGAGAATTAAACATGCTAATATGGAAAAAAGTTTATGGTGCAAAAAATACAGTAATTTTTCTGGGCATTTTTCTGGTGTGGAGAATTAAACATGCTAATACTAGGTTTCAATTTTTTTAAGAGTTAGAAAAAACAGGGATTTCATTGTGTGGAATTCCCCAAATGTTTTAAGGTTTGTGGTTAAGAATACAGGGTATGTGGACAGGCTGCTGCTTAGTTTCAGTTGGATGAGAGCTACTGTGATAGGTTTTTCCATCTTGGCTTCTGTCCAAACAATGTTACAAACAGACTGTCATTAGAAGCTGAAATCAGTTATTTTTTGAAAATGCGATTTCAGCAAACATTCATAAATGAGCAGTCATACTAACAGAGGAATCCAGTGTTCAGATATAGAAAACAAGTCCCCAAACACAGCAAACTAATTTTCAAATGATATGAATGTGAAAAGCTTTTGCTTTTACACCTGCAGGGTTTTTTTTACACTTGAGGAATTTCCTCGTATATTTGGGTTTTTCTATAATGTACCGTTTGATCCTGAATTGACTTGTTAGTGTGAGCTCTTTGGGCAGTTTCTGGAGTACATTTCTTAAGTGTGGATGTTTTAGAGATAGATCTGTTATCTTGTGCTTAATTCCATTCACAGGGGAAGTTCGAAGGGTTTTCTCTGTGCTTTTCTGTTTTTCTGCTTAAGTGGTCTTCATGCTTTTCCATTCCTTTGGTGCAGAACTTTCTGATTCTTGATGAGGTCTCTCAGTTCAGCCCACAACTCCAAAACAACACTGAAAATATTCTCAAAGTGCAAGATTTGACTTGTTCCTGGGACAAGGTAATTCTTTTCATTTATATTATAGGAGGTGCTTTGATTAAGGGCAAAAACCTGCTGCCCCCCAGGTGGATTCTGTGTTAATGAAGTTTATTAACAAATCAGTTCTGGAGGTTTATACCTGAGCTGAAGATGCAGCCCTGTGTTGCAGACTATAATGGGTGAGGCTTATTGGCAAAATGGAAAGGGCGGGGAGCAGGAATTGGCAAAATGGAAAGGGAGGGGAGAGAAATTAAAGATCCCTTACTCTCTTGTTAGAAATTTTGGGCTCAAGCATTCCAGGTGACTGTTGAAAAGCCATAGTTGTTTGAAACTTCCCCAACCCCACCTCATATATATAGGAATCATGATAGGAAATGGGTGTAAAGGGTACTGAGATTATGTGTAGAAAATGTTCTTCTTTGTGGCCTCTGTGAATGCACACAAATGGGTCTTGTCTGCACCTGCTCTGACGTTCTCGGAATATTCTAGAGCTAAAAGTAACAATTTTAATGGCTGATCCTACATGAGGCACATGCTCCTCCCACCTAAGATTCCCCTCAGTTCCTTTTTTCCACCACGCTGAAAGGTTCTACGGAGAAATAGAGCGATTTCACTGAGTTTTTTATCTCAGATTTTCATAATTTCTCCTCTAAATTGGACACCTCTTCCTTTCAGTCAACTGATCAACGATCCCCCGTGAGTTGTTTCGTTTTTGCTTCCCCCCTTCAACTTTTTTTTTTTGCTTCTCGCTTTCTGGTTAAAGCCCCCCCCCAAACTGTTTTCCCCTTCTGTTTTCTCGCCATTTTGGCCTCTCCAATGCTTTTTGACTCTTAACAGTCACAATAAGTGCCTTTTAAGCCTTTCTGCTTGGGTGAGCAACATCTAACCCAGGTGCGCAGAGCATGCAAAAAAGCTTAGGAAATCTGCGCTTAAACAGGGGCTCCAGAGACTCATATCTCACTTGGGTGAAGTTGCTGTGAACCACACAACTTCAACTGGTCCATCTGTCCAGTTACCTGACAGACAGGTCCTGTGACAGACATCACCCTTCTCAACTCCTTTTCAGATGGCTATATTCCCTCAATCCAGAGAGGGATCCGACAAGCCAGAAAGTCCTTAAACCTAAGTCAACATTGACTTCTAGGCACCAGAAGGCTCGACGTGACTAAGAATGGCAAATCTGCCTTTGAAAGAGAGAATGTGCAAGCTGCACCTGCACAAACTCCAGGATGGACCAGTAGCCTCTCTCCTCCAACTGGCTACCGTGCAGTCCGGCTGTGGCTCATTCTAGCCCTAGGGCAGGCATTTGACAATCCAGAGTTGGAGCTCGAGGCTCTTCCTCTTTCTCACAAGAAGAGGAAGGAGAAAAGGAGGCATGTCTCACCACTTTGATTTAAGCCCATTATGATTGGATAAGCTAAATCCTTCCGTTTCTCCAGCATATCAGCACTTCGACATCGACAAGCTTGACTTCGACAAATGTCGACATGGACAAGCTAAATATTCCCATTTCTCCGGCATATCAACACTTTGGCATGGAATGATACTTCTCATATGCTGGTCCATCTCACGTCAAAGCCCATTATTATCGGGATCAACATGGACAAGTCAAATGTTTCTGTTTTCTCTGGCATATCAATACTTCGGCATAGAAGGATTCTTCCCACTCACATCGAAGCCCATTATGATCGGGCTGTACATGGACAAGCTGAATGTTTCCATTTCTCATGCCAGTCCATCTCATGTCGAAGCACATGGGTTCCACATGGACAAGCTAAATGTTTGCATTTTCTCCAGCATATCAACACTTTGGCATAGAACAATACTTCCCATATGCCGGCCTATCTCATGTCAAAGTTATTATGATCAAGCTCGACATGGACAAGCTAAATGTTTTTCGTTTTCTCCGGCATGAAACGATGCTTCTCACATGCCAATCCATTACACGTCGAAACCCATTATATCAGGCGAGACATGGACAAGCTAAATGTTTTCGTTTTCTCTAGCATATTAACACTTCAGCATGGAGGGATGCTTCAGGTTTATCCCAAACCTGTCACCATATGCCAGTCCAGTTTATGTCGAAGCCTATTGGGATGGGGGTCGATATGGGCAAGATATATATTATTGGTTTTTTTTCTACCATATCGACACTTTGGCATGGAAGGATGCTTCCTGGACAACCAGTGACACCATCACGTAAATACAGGTCCCACAATTCTACACCGGTCCCAGTTTCGAGTTGAACACCTCCCACATCTGAGCATGATTCTGACTCCTTGAATGAATCGCCCTCCAACATGATGCGATCTATCATCGTCCTCTGTCTCCTTCAGTACACCTCATATGCACAGCTCATTTCTCGGTTGGCCATATCCTTTCGGTTGTAAATAGAGGAACCGCCTTCTCCGGAAGCCGACCTCATTTCCGATAATTTCACTCGGGAAAGATCACCATAGCTTGGCATTTATACTAACTATGCTGAAGCTAATAAAGGATGCTTAGGACAAGTCACCTGCTATTTTAAAAATCTCAGGGTGAATGGATAACAGGTAGAAGGCACACTTAAATGATATAGAATTTTTAGAAAGACACTCCACTCCCAATTCCTTGAACCCTACTATTAAAGAGTACAGAAAGATTGATGTCCTTGGCAGGGACATCTATTCCCTTTGGTCGTTTCTGCTCCATGTAGCCAACTACCAGGCAGTGATAGGTGCCTACCAAGCAATGATGGTCAAAGATTTTACCCATCTTAGATTCCGCTTCTGAATCCATCAATACAAAACTTATAAATGCTCACACTGAGGCCACGGCTGTAGCAAAGTGACACAGAATTGCTGCTAGACATGCAGCGAAAATGGCCTCAATTACTATGGCATGCTCAGTATTGGTAAGAAGGCATGCCTGGTTAAGATCCACTGACTTATCAGAGGCTGTAAAGGCCAGGATTTAAAATCTTCCATTGGATGGTACTAGTCTCTTCAATCTAAAGATTGGTGACACCATGAAAAATTTATACAAAATAACGAAAACAGCTAAATCATATACGAACCAACAGCCCTTTCGTCCTTCCAAACTTCAGTTTAGACAATCTCAGTTCTATCCATAGTCCTTTCAACCATATCTGGGGTTCCAGCCTTAAAGACAATTGGTTTCATACAAGAATGACACCACATCTACCAATGTTACATTCTACAATTTGACTCTGTTCCTCCTTTGAGAAACATTATACAGTGGTGCCTCGCTTAACGATTTTAATTGGTTCAAAAAAAATCGCTATGTGAAAACATCGTTAAGCGAAACACCATTTCCCATAGAGATGCATTGAAAACCGGATAATCCGTTCCGATTGGAACGGATTACCATCCTTAAGTGAAAATTCCCATAGGAAAAAACGTTCAGCAAAACCCATTGAAATGCATTGAAGCCTATTTCAATGGGGGAAAAAATTCACAAAAATTTCAAAAAGACTCAGAACAAAGCCAAATTAAGTTAACGAAGGTTTTATTAGGTGCACTAACGATTCCAAGCATTTTAAACATTTTTAAACATTTTAGAATATTTTAAAAATAGCAAAAACGAGGCTGTAAAAAAAAACGTTAAGCGAAACAAGGGGACCTAAAACTGTCATCGTTAAGTGAAGCATGGTCCCGAAATCGTTAAGCAAAAATCGCCCATAGGGAAAATCGTTAAGTGAAGCGCAAGATTGCTCCGAAAAAGCCATCGTTAAGTGAATTTTTCGTTGTACGAAGCAATCGTTAAGCGAGGCACCACTGTACTTACTGCTTTCTCTATAACCCTCCAAGAAGAGATCTCTGCCCTCCTGGACAAACATGCCATAATTCAAGTTCCAGCATCGGGCTTATATAATGGCCTCTACTCCTATATTTTTATGTACCTAAAAAATGACGGAGGCATCTGTCGAATCCTTCATCTCAAAAATCTTAACACATTTGTTCGACCGTAAGTTTAGGATTCTGACCCTCGACACCCTTATCCCTCTTCTCTCACAGGGAGACTGGTTTGTTGTACTTGATCTTCAGGATGTGTATTTCCACATATCGATCCACTCATCTCATCAGAAATTCCTAAGGTTTCACTACCATTTGGTCTTTCAACAATACCAAGGTCTTTCACAAGGTGCAGGGTTTCGAACCTTCCCCCGCAGGGTATGAACATCTACCTGAACATAGAAGATTGGCTGATAGTAACAAAATCATATCACAATGCCATCATAACAACAAATATCACGCTCAACACCCTCCCAAATATCACACTCAACATCCTCCCAAACCTGTGTCTCAACATACATCATGTAAAGTTTCATCTGGTACTATAGCGTACGTGTTCCTATATTGAACGATCTTCGAGTATGATTAAGCCAGAGCATTTATTCCATTTAAAAAAATCAGACAAAGAGATTGATCCGCTTTTTGACCTCGGTCTCTGATTCCAGCCCGTCACATACAACATCTCTTTGAACTCATGATCTCTACGACTTCAGTGCTACAGCATGCCAGACTCAGCCTCACTTGTGGTACCCATGGCTGTTCTACCCTGTGGAGGATCACTAATCCAGGAAACTGAAAGTTCGGTTCTGTCACCGTTGGGAAGTACCGACCATCAATGTATTTCCTTTGGGTTTGAGCATCAAATGAATGGTTGATTTTTCCTGCATAGGTGCGGACAAGAACTCCATCGGGGATGCGTTCATATGAAATTGGGCAGGGATCTGCCATAACTCTTCCCTCCGATACAGCTTATTCAACAGTCAGTCATCTGTCTCCATCATTCCTAATTGAACATAATCCTAATAGCTCCATGGTGACCAAGGCAACCCTAGTTCACCTGTCTGAGTTTGATGTTGACAGACACGTCTCAGTTCCCTTTGGTCCCTAACCTCTTGTCATTGAAAGGAGGGATGGTCTACCATCCGGATCTATCGTCCATGAACTTGACAGTGCGGAGCATAGTCCCACTTTGAGATCTGTGCTCAATCAAGCTCAAAATCCATCAGCTCAATGTCTATATGTAAATAAATGGATATCTTTTATTAAATATAAAGAAACAACTACCTTACCAGAGCTCTCTGAAAGTGTTGCTAATTTTTTTACTTCCCCTTTTTGAATTTGGCCTATTCCCTTCCACCTTAAAGCATTATGTATCGACTATTGTTGCCCATCAACCGGATGATTCTGATGCAGCAGAGCTTTCGTCTCCCCATACAGTCAAAGACTTTCTCAGAGGACTCAATAACACCCGTCCTCCATGTAAACGCATTGTTCCCCAATGGTTGACAGATCATTCTAAATGCAATAATGCATCCACCATTCAAGCCATTTAGTCTTCAAATATGAAATTACCTACTTTCAAACAGCCTTCCTAGTGGCTATCACATCTGCCAAGAGAGCTGCAGAAATGGCCGGCCTGTGATTCGATCACCCTTTATTCAATTTTTCCCTGATAAAGTGACTTTGTAATTTGATTTCTCATTCCTACCCAAAATCGATTCAGATTTTCATATTGATCTATGCTTCATATTACCATCATTCTTCAAATTGCCACCATCTCCTCTAGAGCACATGCTCCACAATATCGACATAAGGCACTTGGTCTGGACACTGCCAGGACCATCAGACTAACAGGCTTTTTGTATGCTTTCATGGTCCTTATAATGAAGGTCCAGCTTTATCGTAATCCATCTCTAGATGTATAGTCCAGACTGTATCTATGGCTTATCAGCTGTCAGGTGAGTCTACCGTCTAATCATTTTAAAGCTTATTCCACTAGAGCGCTGTCCACCTTGGCTGCATTCTAGCATAGAACCAAAATTCTCGACATCTACCGTGCAGCAACATGATCCATGCCATCCACCTTTGTGAAGCACTGCCAGCTAGATGTAAGGGTATGCAATGACGCTAGATTTGGCAGAACTGTGTTGGCATCCTCCCTACGATGACATCCCACTGGCCGATAAATGAAGCTCACTAGTCACCCATTTGTGTGCATCCACAGAGACCACGAAGAAGAAAGGTTACTTACCTGCAACCATGATTCTTCAAGTGATCCTCTGTGAATTCACACTACCCACCCATCCTCCCCTCTGTCCACCATGGGTATCTTATTTATTATATAACTCTCATGCCTGGCGGACAAATTTTAGGAACTGAATGGAATCTTGGGTGGGAGGAGCATGTGCCTCGTGGGGGATCAGCCCATGAAAATTGTTACTTTTAGCTCTAGAATATTCCGAGAACGTCAGCGCAGATGCAGACAAGACCCATTTGTGTGAATTCACAGAAGACCACTCGAAGAACTATGGTTACAGGTAAGTAACATTTCTATTTGGAGCACTTGAGAATGTGCTGTATGATACTAATAGGAAGAGTGATGATGCTTTGCCCCTATAGGTCATGTTTACTGCCTTTCTGCTTCTACTGTGGTAGAAGGAAAAAAAGACCAGCCTGATTAGTTGAATTCCGTCCTATAATTTGGCAGTGGTGTGTGTGTGTTTAATGGTGCAGCTGCATTGTAGTTGTGAGCCTACAAGCACATTATTTGTGATAATTGCTCACTGGAATCACTGTTGTAAAATTGGTTAAAGGTTGCCTAAATGGTACATTTTATATGCCATGTAAAGTGTTGGGTCAGTGATAAAAAGAAACTTCAGTTCACAGGGTACATGTGAAGTGAGGACTACTTAAAAAAATAACGTTGGGGAACGCTGCTCATTTTAAAAAGGTTTAATTTTGCAGGATTACAGAATATATCAATTAAAAACTCATTATGTCCCTAGCTCTTGGAGGCCTTTCTCCATAAAACCTGTGATAAGGCAGTCTGGCTAGTTCCCAGAATATTTTGTGGGCATCATACCTCTCTGCTTGTAGTCTCTGCATATCTTGAAAAATATGTTCTCTTTTGCTCTCCTGCTGTATGAATCCGTGACTGCAAGTAAAACGTATGCTTGCTGCCACCGTGTGGGGATTTAATGAATCATATTTAAGAAGAGAAGTGCTGTCAAAATTAAAACTCATGACCATAATGAGGCATTTGTGGATTTTGGAACACAGACAAAGGACTATGTTTTATCAAAGACTATTCACAATGTATTTCTTAATTAAATGCTTACTCTCTGTCCAGCAAAGTTTATAATATGAGACCCCCATCGGAATGTTTGCCGTTTTACAGGAAGTTGTGGGCAGGAAGGCGGATATACATGGTGAATTGAAGTATCCTTTTTCACCATGGTTTGTTTTATGATCTGGCTCAAAATGAATTTATTTCCATGTGTTTTCCAGTAATAGTGGTAGAAAATAGAAACAACTCTGTTCATCATAAATTAACCTCAGATGACACACCTGGTGCCAGTTAGTTGAAAATGGAAGCAGAAGCTTTGCATCAAACCATACCCAATGCTTGAGAGGGAGTGGAAGTGACACAGACTCGTAGAACCATTTAATAATGGAGTTGGAAGGGGCCTATGAAGCCATTGAGTCCAACCTTCTGATCAGTGCAGGAATCCAAATCGAAGTATATCAGGCCAATGGTTGTCTGATTTTCTCTTGAATGACTCCAGTTTTGGAACATGTGGGTCAGTGGTTTGTTGTGTCACACTGTTGTAAGGGTGAAGTGTGGTTTAGCACTGTGTATGAATCACCTCAATAAATACTTTTCTCTGGTTGTGGTGGGAATTCCTCTGTGTGTAGGGTAATGGGGAAAGTCTGAGATATTTCCTGGCAGGAAGTGACGTATAAGATAGTTAAGAATATCATTGTGCACCGTACGGCTACTGTGACAGATCTGGGAAGGAATTACTTAGTGGTGGTAAGGAATTTCACCACAATTTTTTTTTTAGTTTTGCTGGGTTCTGTGCTATTTTCAGACCCCTCATGTGTTCTTGAGCTGATTCTGAAACTTGTTTACTTTTAAAATGAATATTATTTTCAGTGGTAACTATTTATGGGTATATTTATTTGCTTGAGGAAACAGATCAGGTGTACAGATTCTAAGTAGGTAGTAGTCTAAAATAAACATAGGGAGATAATAGTAGAGAATGGGGTAGTGGTGGCATGAAGGCATGGGAAGAATGTGTTGTTATGGATAGTAAGAAATCCAGTGAGCCAGAGTAGCTTGAGGAATTGAGAGAGGAAAAGACGGTGGGATTTAAAATTGCTGTTGCCTCATCTAGACTGCAGAGGAAGCAGAAGGGGAATATGGAGGAAGGGGCAGGAGATTAGGAAAAGAATTGTGATTTGGAGAAAGAGTGAATAGGTAGATGCTTTAATGCTTGTACTGACTATCCTGAGCAGTAATTTGTCACTTTTAATGTCGAAGACATATAGAAGGAGCAGTGTAGGTGAGTGAGAAATGCTGGCGATGTACTCATGCTCTCCATGTGGAATGACATTGTGAATTGAGGAGAGTGGGACCCTGCAGTTATGCCACTTCTAACACGTGCACACACTCTTTATGTAGGCAGTCTCCAAGGGAACTTGTTCTCCCCAGGCCTCGTGGCTCCCATGGTTCAACGGGGCATTTTTCCACCTGTTTGATGATGTAGCATGGGAACGGCACGGAAATAAAATAACTACAGTGGTGCCTCACATTACGACATTAATTTGTTCCAGCGAAATCGCTGTAGAACGAAAATGTTGTAATGAGAAAATAAAAACCCATTGAAATGCATTGAAACCCCTTCAATATGTTCCAATGGGCTGGAAACTCACAGTCCAGCGAAGTTCATAGGGCGGCCATTTTTGGTGCCTGTGCAGCGAGGAATCCGTCGCAGAAAACAGCGGGGAGCCATTTTATTTACCTGGTGGCCATTTTGAAACCGCCGATCAGCTGGAGGAAAATCGTCGTTTTGCAAAGAATAGGTTTCCGAAGCAGGGAACCGATCATTGCAAAGCGAAAAAAACCCATTCAGACCATCGTTTTGCGATTGCAAAAAGATCATCATAATGCAGTTTCATCGTAATGCCGGGCAATCGTAAAACGAGGCACCACTGTACCCTACTTCCTGTTGGTTTGAAGTTCTGGGCGGACTTTCCTGCCAAATTATGGGGCATTTGTTACTCTCGAAAATCCCATCCTTATTTCTCATACCTTGAAACTTCCATTAGTGTCATCTGAATTCTGAAGGAACTTGACCAGACATGACAACAGCAGGATACATGCAGGCTCTTTGGGCCTTTGATTGTTGCAGGAGTTATTAGACTAGAAGGGGCCAGCAAGTAACAGTCTCACAGCCAAGGGTATTAACAAACTTTTGGATTCTAATGCCCTTCTGTTGTAATTAAAATACAATGTTTCTTCATAAATTTACAGGCTCTTGAACTGCCAACACTTCAAAACATTTCATTTACTGTCAAACCAGGAGAATTACTCATCGTAATTGGCCCAGTGGGAGCAGGAAAAGTAAGTCGTAACAGCTTTTTAAAGTGATGGGCACCAGCTCTTCTGTCAGACAGTCTTTCTTTCTTTTTTTCCAGCTATAAGTCACAGAACCTATAGTGTTGAAACTATGTAGTCCATAAAACACTGAGAATGCAAGGCTTTTTTTAAATTTCTGAGGCGTGGGAAGAACACATCGTAGTAACGAGGAGAGTACCTCTGAATAAAGGTGCGAAATCCAGTCTACAGTGGTGCCTCGCTTAACGAGCGCACCGTTTAACGACGACTTCGCATAGCGACCCGTTTTTTGTGATCGCTAATGCGATCGCATTGTGATGTTTAGATAGGCTAAACATCGCATTGCGATGATCGGTAAGCGTTTCACTTACCGATCTTCGCATTGCAATGTTTAGAAAACAGCTGATCGGCGGTTCCAAAATGGCCACCGGATCAGCAAAATGGCCGCCCGCAGCGTTTTCGTGCCCTGCCCTCGCTTACCAGGCAGTGAAAATGGCGGCGGGATGGGGGAATCTTTGCTTACCGGTGAGTTTTTCCCCAATAGGAACACATTAAACAGAGTTTAATGTGTTCCTATGGGGTTCCCCCCCCACATAGCGACGAATCCGGATAGCGACGTTAATCCTGGAATGGATTAATGTCGCTATGCGGGGCACCACTGTACTGTGTGACTGCCTAATATATGCCAGGTACCTAGCATGGTGTAATGGATAGAGTGACGAAGTAGAACTCTGGAGACCAAAGTTCGAATCCCCCCTCAGCCATGGAAACTTACTGGGGGAGCAGAACAGGTAAAACCACTCCTTAAATATCTCACTTCCTTTGAAAACCCTGTTAGGGTCATTATAAGTCAGTTCTGACTTCACAGCACATAACTAACTAAAATATGCTGCCAGTAAACCCGCTGTAGTGTAATAAAGTGCTCACCCTGCTGCAGATAAGACATCTTGCAGAACCCCTGAAAAGCCTTTGCTGTTGTCACTTTTGCTAGTGCAAAGTTGGGCCTGGATTAGGGCTGGTTAGTGCAGTTCCTTTCCCTCATTCATGGTTCTGTTTTCCTCCCCATCTCTTCCTAGAGTTCATTCCATGACATGAGTAACAATGCAGAGCTTTTTCTGGTTCACGCATAACAGTGATAATGGTGGCTTAACCTGCTGCTGCTTCTCCTTTGCATAGGACTGGCCTGTCTTTGTCTTTACAGCAGAACAAGAAGTATTGTTTTGTGTTGTGGCTGAGCCCAAAACACTGACCATAACCCATGGTTTATGTTAACCATGATTTATTTCTTGAATCACAAATTTTCCAGCAGACAATCGAACACCCACCCCCATTTTTAACAGTTTTTCTCCTGCTGTTCTGGAAGACAAATCAGGAAGAAGCTTCAGTTGTGGATTCAGACATGACAAAACAAGCGAGATCTTATAGGCTAGCAACAGACTGTGTTTTCTAAGTGTGACTTACCTTGGGTAACAAAGCTCTCTTGATTTGCAGAAACAGATTCAAATGTAACAATGAGCCAGACTGCCTTGTTGCTATGCATGAACCTGTCCATATCTAGTGGATCACTGGCTTTATTAGGCTATGAGATTGTATGTTGCAAGTGAAAGTGTGTGTGTGTGTGTGTGTGTGTGTGTGTGTGTGTGTGTGTGTGTGTGTGTGTGTGTGTGTGTGTGTGTGTGTGTAGACATACCTCATAAATACTTTATAAAATGTTAATATGGGAAATGTTGATCAGCAAACCATAGTTAGGAGGGGACATAACGTTAACAGTTAAATGTCTTTGCTCGCAGTCTCTTCATTGTGGTGAAAAGCATTATTTCTGCATGTTGGATGAGTGTCAGAATAGTTGAATGTGTATGTGTATATATGTTCACATTTTGTACACTCATTCTACAAGCCTTCATTTCTCTCCTTAACAATGCTTTCAGTCTTCACTCTTAAGTGCTATCCTTGGAGAACTACCTGCAAGTAGAGGCATCATCAGTGGGCAAGGAAGAATAGCTTATGTTTCTCAGCAACCCTGGGTATTTTCTGGCACTGTAAGAAATAACATACTCTTTGGGAAAGACTATCACAAAGAAAAATATGAAAAAGTTCTAAGAGCCTGCGCTCTTAAAAAAGTAAGTTTTCTCTTCTTCCATTCTTCTGAATAAATTTAAGTTGCACATTTTGCCAAGGAAAATGCTTTTATACTTTCTAATTCATTGTGGGAAAGTGAAGATTTCTAATGCATTATGCAGTAAATAAAAATGTCAGTAAGGCAGACCAATATTATTTGCATATACCAGAGAAAAAGGGAACATGATGCACTCAGTGGCACTCTGGTTGCAACATACCTTACCAGTGGCAATGTATGCATTTATTCTTTCATAGACCATATCTCTGTAGGAATAGTGTCATCTTTGAAGTAGCCCATAGTGCTGTTGCTTTTCTTAGAATTTTAATTCCCAGTGAGGCTCACATCAGGCATCCGCCATGAGGTGGTATGGTCCTCATGGAAGCCATGTGATTTTGTTATCCCAAGATTTACTTTCCTATTTGTTATGATGTGTTTTAAAATATTGGCATTAGCTCAATATTTATGATTAGAGAGGTTATTATTCCTTGACAGGGACTGGACTCAATGATCCATAACATGCCCTAAAACAAGCTGGACATGAAATTCTATTTCAAAACACAGAAATACTGGACAACAACAGCAATCATTATGTTAGACTGCACAGGGAAGCCATTGAATTCCGTAAACACCAGCAGAGCTTCAACAAAAAAGAAGAAAGTTTAAAACTCAACAAAGCCTGGCTCCTAGCACTGAAAAATACAGCCTACAAAAAAGGTCAACAAATTCTACCTAGCCACAAGGACCAGTGATCACTGCACACAAAAGACCAGCTAACGACACCCATCAATCACAGTGACAGATAATCTCTCCCCCTTATTACAACAATAAACCCACAACAAAAAACATGCAGATCACCATAATTACCCAATCTCCTGAAAAGGACAAAAGCTGATCCCACAGCTATAAATACTCAACTATCCAACAAACTTCAACAGAGTCCTAACTCCTGTCCTCTGAAGATGCTGGCCACAGAGACTGGCGAAACGTTAGGAAGAAAAACGTTAAGAACACAGCCAAACAGCCCAGAAAACCCACAACAACCATTGGATCCCAGCTGTGAAAGCCTTCGAGAATACAAATTTCATAGACTTGGAAGGGGATGAATGCAAGAAAACAGCAGACAATTGGCTGCCTCACCTTTATATTGCCAGACAAGTTGCAACAAAACGTATCTCAGTAAACCGAATCTCAACTTGCTAGTTACGTACATTGATTTTGTTGTGATCGAGGCATGACAGCACTAGTTGGGATCCAGTTCACATGGTCTATCTGTTATCCTACTGAGAATACATCACATTCATGAGCACAAGAAATCAGCTGTTTTTAAAGTTAATTATAGTGATGCAAGAGTCATAGTTCAGCACTAGGTGTTGCTTAAGCTAGTTAATTTAAACTTGTCTTTCCCTTTACACATCTCCCCTTTCTTCTTAAATATCCTTGTAATGTATTTGTATCACTCTAGCAATCTGAAGCTGTTGCCTTTGTTTATGCCTTTCTCAATGTTCTTAGGTCATTAGCTCTCTTCCATGATTATGAGGAAATGGCATGATCAACCTGTGATTTTTGTCTTGGGGTTTTCAGGTGATAAACTACATAGGAAATGATGATTATGGTTCAGGATATGAATTTTCTCTATTTTTAATAGGATATGGAACTGCTGGAAGATGGAGACCTGACCATTATTGGAGACAGAGGAGTTACACTGAGTGGAGGCCAAAGAGCCAGAGTTAATCTTGCCAGGTAAAGGGTCCCCTGTGCTTCCTAAGTCAGTTTCCAGTCTACAGGTGCCAGTGAATGGCCAAATTAATGGATGCCAGAGGTGGCCCAAGATGTATTGTTGCCTGAAGTAAATGGGCTGCATCCAAATCAAGATGCAGATTCTCTTATCCAGCTAAGTTACTTTGGTCATAGGAAACAGAAAGCTAAGAAGCACTTCCTCCCATTGCTAGCAGTCAGAATATATCAGTAGAGAAGTAAATAAGTAACAACCAGCTGCTTTTTAAAGATATTGGGAATTTCTTGCCTTCCTCGGCCTATTGGTTGGAGACAGTCCTGCTTGATCCCTTATGCAAACACTTTAAGCGCAGATTTGAGTACAGTTGTAGTAATAGCTCTAATCTTTATTGTACTCTTATTAAAAATGGATGCACCATTAATTCATGTACATTTCCAGTGGGTTATACCGATTTAAATTGGTATCAGTCAGTAGTAAGAAGCAATAGAAAACAGTAGTCAAATAACAAAAATAAAACAGCCTAACACAAAACAGCAGACTAGAAAGTAGCAGACCAGTTGACTTGAATGCTTCCTGAAGAAGAGAAAGTTCTACTTGTCCTTTAAAAGGACAGAATAGAAAGAATCTGTGCATTCTTATCCTGAGAAATTTCCATAGTATGCAGCTGCCCCTAAGAATGCTGCATGTGGAGCAGGACCTCATCTCAATATCCCAAATGCCACAGGGAACTTTAGGGTAGCAGGCCATTCCCAAGGTTATCAGCGCTCAGGATGTTTATAAAGATCAAATCTGTTACTTCGCAGTGGCCTTGAGATGAGATTGCAGGGCAGTGGGGAATGTACATTTCTGGATCTGACTGCTTTGAAATGGAGATTAGTCCTTTGGTCACTAGAAGAGTTTAGACAAGGAAGAAGGGAATTCTCTCATGGATGCATATTTGTTTTGACACATAATATATTTCTTCATGTGTTTCTAGAGCTGTGTATCAAGATGCAGACATTTATCTCCTGGATGATCCATTGAGTGCAGTAGATGCAGAAGTTAGCCGGCATCTGTTTGAGAAGTATGCAACCTTTTCTATGTTTCTGGGTTTCCCCCCCTTGTTTGTTTCTTTTTTTCAATTCTCATGGAATATCTTCTACCCTGTAGAGTTTCTGAATTTTTTTTTGCTGTATCAGAACATTTCAGAAGTGGGAAAGTTGGTAGATACCTTGTGTCTCATCCACACTTTAGTCTAGGAGGTGAAGATCAGATTGTCTTATACTGGAACTCATAAAAATTGAGTTCCTCAGGCATACTTAGGGCAAAGGCCTGTGACATGGCTTCAGAATCTAAGGAGTTCACAAGGAGTTTGGTTTAATACTTCTACCTTTTAAAGAATTCTTAATCTAAGCACCCATTTATGTTTCTGCATTTTGCCAGTAGAGTCCTGTAGATACAGCAAACATATATGTGTGATGACACAACCAAGAGAACTGTCTGCTGCTCACTCAGTTCATTCCATAATTGAGTGAGACATAAATTTGGAGATTTTTGCTCGTTATAAACTGATGTATCAGGTACTGTATGACTCTGAATGTTTGGTGCTTCAAGGTGAACAGGTTTTTTTTTTTTGTCGAAATAAGGTTAGCCTTATGGTCAAAGCACATTTTAAAAGACAAAGGATATACCTTTAGAGACTACTATAATTGCATTTGCAACTATTTTTCCATACTAGGTGTGTTTTAAAATTAATGTTATCATTTCAGGACAATTGAAATCAAAACTCTGCTGACTTAGTTTTGGGAATAAACTTGCTCTGTGGCACATGCGCAACTGGTGATGCTGCTGTACAAGCCGCAGGACCACACTAGAGTGTAGTGGTCACTTGAGACGGGATGGGTAAGTGGCTTTTTTATACTACAGTGGTCGCCCATTCCAAGCTTTTCAGATTTGCCTTTGCAATTAGGTTGGTGTGTGTTTCCAGAATTCCTTTTTCCATGATGTTTAGGGCATTACACATTTTGCACAGATCATGGCTAAAGAACAGGGCCAAGTGCTACTTTTGAGCTACTGATTTTGAAAAGGCAATTGAAAGGCTTAAGGGCCACTCTTGTAGATCGTGGTTTTTTGCAGCTTACAGTTGCATTCAGTGATGCTTTTTTTTTTTGCTCTTGCCATAGCTGCAAATTGCACGATACAATAAAAAAGCCACTTACATGTTCAGTTCACATTTAGCTATAAGCTCTAGTTGTGTGTCTTTTCTTGGCACATTATTGTCCAGCTTCATGGACAATAACATGCCAACACAGCTGTGTCCGTCTGTGCAGGCATATCAGACAAAAAAAAAACAGAGTAAAACAAAAACCCACAAATACTGATCTATGAAAGCTCACACTAAAATATAGTCATTAGTCTTTAAAGTGCCACAACATTTTTGTCTCTTGTTTTTTGTTTTGCTTCATGGTGTGAGACACACTCGGGCTCTTTGCACCCCTTCACGTTACAGTACTGCTTTGGGGTTTGCATTTGCTTGGGAGACTCAAGGGACAGAAAGGGTGCTTTACTTTTATTTCCTTTTGAATTATCTCCTGTCAGACTCCTTTGCTACTTTTAAGCTACATTTCCTTTGTGAGGTCTGTTAGCAGAAACAATCCTGATTTGGTTGTGGCTCTCTCATCACTTCAGTAAGCAAGTGTGTGGGTATACACGTTTGATGGGATAATCATGGAGAAGCCGTACTTTTAATGCATGCTTGAGAAATGACTTTAGAGCTTGTTAACCCTGTGCTGTAATGCACCACAAGAACCTTGATGAGCCAGACTTTCCTACAGAGTGGATTGATTTTAATACCGTACATTTTCATTTTGTGAAGAATGCATTTTTCTGAACAGCAGGGCCTTCTGATGGTTTGATGAATCTGAAAATGGTTTGCAACGGGATGTAACCTTACCTCTTTGTAGGAATATAGTCACAAAGCTCCTGTCTTTTGAGCACTGCACAGTTGACCTTTGCGTTGACAAGGGAAGCAATTGTGAAAAAAGGACGGGTTTCTTTTTAGCTGTTTGTACACTGAGCAAGATTACTTCTTTAAAACTGGATAGTAAAAACTAAATTCCTAGAGGTTTTTAGAAGCAAAAGTGGTAATTGCTGGTTAAAACTGCTGTTCAGTAAGTTGGGATGATCATGCTGTTTTGTTGGAATTATTTAATATTTAAAACATGCTTCAGCAAGAAGCAACAGTACATAACTGGATGTAGTGGTCATAATTTGACCGTCAAAGTCAAATTTTCTAGTCCCATTTTCTTTTTCACATAGAAAAACAGGTTTTATTTCATTGTATTTAATAAAAGGCTGTGAACTCTCTTAAGAGGTCAGGGTAACTTTAGCATTGCACTGATTTTAGAGTGATACAGTGGTGCCTCGCTTAACGAGTACCTCGCTCAATGATGAATTTGCATAACGATGGCCTTTGCTGGAAATTCTGGTGCCTCACCTAATGATGTTTCCTATGGGGGATTTTCACATAACCATGTTTGGGACCTTGCTTCACTTAACAATGACAGTTTTAGGTGCCCTGTTTTGCTTAACGTTTTTTTTTGGCAGCCCTGTTTTCGCTATTTTAAAAATATTCTAAAATGTTTAAAAATGTTTAAAATGCTTGGAATCGTTAGTGCACCTAATAAGACCTTCGTTAAAGTAATTTGGCTTCGTTCTGAGTCTTTTTGAATTTTTGGTGATTTTTTTCCACCATTGAAATGTATTGAATAGGCTCCTATTGGAGCAGATTAACCGGTTTTCAATGCATTCCTGTGGGAAATGGTGTTTCGCTTAACAATGTTTTCACATAACGATGTTTTTAATGGAACCAATTAACATCGTTATGCGAGGCACCACTGTACTTAATATACGTGAGATTGTAAAACAAACAAAAATGAAAGCAACTGATTCCAATTTTATATATAGCAAGATTCAGAAACAGCCCTCTGCATCGGTCTGTGTACAAAAGACATTAGCAGAATAGCAGAGCCTCAGTCTCATCCAGAGTAGACTATGTCTAGATGGGCGGCATATAAATGCAATCAGTCAATCAATCAATCAATCAATCAATCAATCAATCAATCAATCAATCAATCAATCAATCAATCAATCAATCAATCAATCAATCAATCAATCAATCAATCAGTAAATAAATGAATAAATGAATAAATGAATAAATGAAAGGATTTTCCATTATAAAGTACAGTATAGCTCAATATTCTAGCACTAGATGTTTATATTGCTGTAATAGTACAGCTGTAGGGAATGTAGATACCATGGTCCTTGTGTATAAATATGTACGGACCTCTGTAATTAAAATACACATTTATGTTATACGTAAGAGCATTACGTGCATGTTTGTACATATGCTTGAATTCCACATGTGTGCAGATGAGACTTAAATATGGTTATGATCATCCTGAAGCAGAAAGGCATAAGCCCTATGGCTCAAGCTTAGTCTTGTGCTTCAGGACCAAGCAGTTTATGTTGTTTGGAGTAAAAATTTGCGCTGTTCCTCTCTCTCTTTTAATTCTTTGCCAGTTGAGAAATTGAACATTAGAATGAGCTACCGTAAACGAACTGTGTGATAGTCAGAGCCTCTTGTGACTTGTTTTGTTACTAAATACTACCACCTGCATTGTGAAAAAGACTTAATTTACACCCTTCTTTAGTCAGTTCTCATTAATATGGAAGAGATGCTTACACATCTTTTCACTTTCTTCCCTTGCCCAACATCACCATGAAATATGTTAGCATGACTTATTAGTTCAGAAATAGTTTGAATGCAAATCTTAAAATTCTGCTCTTGTGCGGTTGGAAAAATATCAAGAAATGCACTTGAAAATACAGACTGCAGAAAGGTCAACGAATTCTACCCAGCTACAAGGACCAGTGATCACTGCACACGAAAGACCAGTTTACGACACCCATCAATCACAGTGACAAATAATCTCTCCCTCTTATCACAACAATACACCCACAACAAAAAGCACATTGATCACCACAATCACCCATCTTCTGAAAAGGACAAAAGCTGATCCCATAGTTATAAATACTCCACTATCCTAACAAACTGCACCAGAGCACAGACGGAGTTCTGACTCCTGTCCTCTGAAGATGCCAGTCACAGAGACTGGGGAAATGTTAGGAAGAACAACCTTCAAAACATGGCCAAAGAGCATGAAAAACCCACAACCATCAGATCCCAGCTGTGAATGCCTTTGAGAATACAATATCAAGAAACATTTACATAAAATGTGTCAGTATTCAATCAGTTGACAATATTCCATCATGCATGAATATTTTTACAAAGCAGGAGTTTCACTTTATTCATTTCTTTTTGCAGGTGCATCTGTCACGCTTTGCATAAAAAAATTTGTATTTTAGTCACCCACCAGCTGCAGTATCTACAGGCTGCAAGCCAGATCCTGATTCTAAAAGAGGTAGGTGGAAGTTATCTTTGGAAAGGTGACTGTATTCCAAAGCTTAGATGATGAAGATTTTTTTTAAAAAAAGATCAACAGTGGAAATAGTTTGGGAAGCTGAGTGAAGGTTTTTCAGCTAATATAGATGCTGGTTTAATATAGAACTCTGGCTTGGCTCTTTCCAAATAAGTCAGAGTTTTAAGCCAATAAGTACATTATAATCAGTCAACTGCCTCTTTATTATGCAGTAAACACCTCAAAGACCCATGATTTAGTGGGTTACAGACTGTCTGTTCACCAAGGCAGAGCAACTATTCCACAGCTGTTCACTTTGTTTGTAGTTGCTGTAGCAAACTCATCACCTTGTGACAGCAGACAGGCAGTGTGTGCTAGGGCAGTGCTCTGAAAGCCTTGTAGTCTGAATAGAATTTGCAAGATCTTGTGTTGCTTTGGTGTAGCCTTCAGGAAACCAGGACTATCTGCATGCCACTATGATGGTTCAGAGTAGGTTTTTGTGAATGTGTATTATAAATAGGTTGTTAGAGTTCTTTCTGCATGTTCTTTGTTAAGGGGCAGAGGTAAAGAGGTACTGTGCACTTTGAAGACTCATCAGGCTGGACAGTGCACTTGTCATCATCCTCTCCATTGTGTCAGCTGCAGTATAGTGTTAGTACTTGCCAGCTGGCTTGTGCTACAAGTCATGTCGGGTGGGAGGAGCAAGGCCAGACAAGTAGCAGTAAGCTGTCAAGAGGTTTGTTTATGCCGCTCCAGTAATATTATTAACATATGAGGAGGAATGGGCATCATTACACTTAGGTTTATTGTAAGAGTAATGGTGTCAGAGCTCTTGTCCTCCTTTTTCTTCCTCTCAGCAGTACTATAAGGAAACTGGTGCATAGCTGTGTGGGAGTAACTTGACATTATTGGATTGCACAATAAAACCATCCAGTTTGTTTTGTCTGGGCATCATACCTGGCAAAGTTACACTGGTGTGACTTTGCATTACCCAGTGACAAATTGGATTCTGGCAAATAACTGTCAGTGCATCAAGCCAAACCCAAAGATATGGAATCTTTGAACTCCTTGCACTTATGTGCAAGAACCCCAGGATCTTACTGAGATGGATAATGATTAATTTACCACTCTTTTATGATAATGCTTGTGTTTAAATTAAACAATAGCTGCCTCCCCCTTAATGTGCATTTTACCATGGTCTTCTTCAGGCATAAGTGGTGTGGGGTCATGGATCCTGAGCTGAGTCCTGATCTTCCTGTGCTGAGCAGGGGATAAAGTAGGATTCTGAGTCACATATATGAAGGTTCCAGCAAAAACAAATATGAGCCCCCTACAAACCTTCCTGCTCAACCTGGGCAGATCAGGAATGTTGGAAACATTACAGATGTTAGATGTAATGCCAGAATATGGCTCTTGGTATCAATTAGTACTAGCTAAAGGTAGATTTCATCCTAACCTTTTGGCTTTCACCTGTGATTGATTTTTGATCCAGCAGAAGGATCCTGTAGTGAAGGCAAGAGATGGACAATTTTTGCTGACTCCCCTCTTGCAGACTCTGAACGTGTCCAGAGGAGGGCAACTAAAATGGTTAAAGGTCTGGAATCAGTGTCCTACAAGGAACAGCTTAGGGAGTTGGGAATGTTTAGCCTTACAAAAAGAAGGTTGAGAGGGGGCATGATAGCCATGTTTAACTATTTGAAAAGATGTGATGTTGAAGAGGGGACAGGTTTGTTTCCCAGGGCTTCAGAGACTAGGACACAGAGCAGTGGTTTCAAACTACAGGAAAAGAGATTCCACGCGAACATTAGGAAGAACTTCCCGACAGTCAGAGCTGCCCGGCAGTGGAATAGGCTGCCTTGAAGGGTGCTGGAGTCTCCTTTGGAAGTTTTTAAGCAGAGGATGGATGGCCATCTGTTGGGAGTACTTTGATGGATGTTCCCGCATGGCAGGGGGTTGGACTGGATGACCTCAGTGGTCTCTTCCAACTCTATGACTCTGAAACAGTTACTCAACTTCCCCTACCCTCTGGAACAGATCTTTGGAAGTTGCAAGTGGTAAAGATAAAGGTTCCCCTTGACATTTAGTCCAGTCTTGTCCAATTTTAGGGCGTGGTGATCATCCCCATGTCCAAGCCGTAGAGCCAGCGTTTGTCTGTAGAGAGTTTCCGTAGTCACATGGCCAGCGCAACTAGGCACAAAACACTGTTACTTTCCCACCGTGGTGGTACCTATTTATCTACTGGCATTTTTACATGCTTTCGAACTGCTAGATTGGCAGGAGCTGGGGCAAGCAACGGGAGCTCACTTCGCCGCGTGGATTCGATCTTACGACTGCAGGTCTTCTGACCTTGTAGCACAGAGGCTTCTGTGGTTTAACCTCAAGTAGTTGAAGGGAAAATGGGAAATTGGCAAAAATTGAATTGTCTCTACGCAGCCAAAAGCAATTGTGTCAATGGGTGCAAAGTCTGGATCATAGCCAATGCAAAATGCTGGAAATGAATATATGTAATCTGAAAGAATTCACGGTGAAATGTGCCATTCTGTAGATATTTTATGCATTTTGTAACTGGTGATTTGTTAACATTTGTTTCTAGGGTAAAGAAGTGGGGAAAGGGACTTATCCACATATTCTGAGATCTGGGATAGATTTTGCATCCCTTCTAAAGAAGCCTGAAGAGGATGATCAATCAGCTGTTCCAGGAACCAGTAGCCGCTCATTACCTCGGATCCGTACGTTTTCTGAGTCCTCTGTGTGGTCAATAGAATCTTCAGTACAGTCACAGAAAGATGGGGCTGCAGAACCTCCTCCCTCTGTGAGTAAATGAAATATATACAAAACTGTTCATTCCTGCCTTTGTTTTTGTGTGTTGTGGATTAATTGTGTCATAGAAGTTACTTCTGTGTAAAAGCATGAAAATCTCTCAGCATCAGTTTCAGAGTGATTCTCAAGCATCTCAAGTACATTTTCATCCTGTTCATATTAGGTAGGGAGATTTCATGTTTTCTTCCTGCACTAAAATGTTTGCATACTGGCACCCATTTTTCCTCATCTTTGTATGTATTTGCACATTTTACATAATTTACAAACCCTTTTCAATTGAGTAAAGTCTATTCTTTCAATTATGCACATTTTAGCAATTCATATTGTTGAGTGCACCATTTTATGTGCATTTCATTTTTTTAATGTGTAAGCTAGGAAGTACGTGGATTCTCAAAGGAAAATAGTGTTTCTTTTCGCAAGAAGTCTCCAGAAATGTGGAAATGTTACTTTTGTAATGATTTACAAATACAGCAAAATCCTTCTCCATCTGTAATTCTGTAGCAAAGAGAAGGAACAACAGAGCTAATTTAATACTGTTTTAAAGTGTGTCTGGCCGATGCAGCCCATTATTACTGTTCTATGAATCTCATAATTTTCATACTAATTCTTTATCATCAATATTCTGTTACTTTTCTTATACAGTGGTGCCTCGCTTAGCGATCGCTTCGTTGGGTGATGAAATCGCTTAGCGATGGGGTTTTAGCCATCGCAAGAGCGATCGCTTAGCGATAGTCCCTATGGGGAAAAATCGCTTTGCGATGATCGCGGGGAAGCGATCATGGCAAAGCGGCACTTTTTAAACAGCTGATTGGCGGTTTCAAAATGGCCACCAGAAAGACAAAATGGCCGCCCACTGTGTGTCCTCGCTTTAGAGGCACTGAAAATGGCCACCCCTATGGAAGATCTTCGCATAAGGTTAGTTTTGAAGCCCATAGGAACACATTAAACGTGTTTTAATGCATTTCTATGGGCGTTTAAAAATCGCTTATTGATTAAATCGCTTAGCAACATTTTTCCTGGAACGGATTAACATCGCTAAGCGAGGCACCACTGTATATTTTTTAGTTGAAACATAATCGGGTAATTGGTTAATCTGCCCTTCAAGCAGATTAACCAATTAAGACTTGCCTTTAAGCAGGAATGGGAACCCATTTTGGCCCAAGAGCTGAATTGATTACAGACATACTGGGGGCTTCAGAGGGAGGCTGCACACCAGCAGTGGTTGGTCCACATCTGAAAGTGGACAGGGCCACCTCACCACCAGCATATGGTTAGCAATCTGATTGCCAAGACTCATATAAATGCACATTTTCCCTCATCAGCAAACACCACACTTCCATTTCCTGGAAATACACATCCATATGGCTTATGGTAGTAGCTAAGAGTTTCTAAAATCCTTGTTGTGATATGGGGAGGGATTATTTTTCAAGAGGAGATAGCAGTATTAAGATGGAAGAGTGACCTTATGTTTCTCCATCAACACTCCCTAAAATATGCCCCCCTGCAGTTAGGCCTTTTAAAAATCTACAGTGACATCTATTGAGTATGGTGGTGATGGTGGAAGTGGGGGAAATCTCACATCCATAATGGTGATCAGTGATTGAAGATAAAAGTTTTAAGATCCAGAAGGAGAGATGGTAAGGGATGGAAATAGGAAATTGCTGGTGGGCTGAATGAGGGACCCTTTGGGCCTTGTCAGAAATATTGGCCATTGGAAAATAATTTTATTCAAATCAAGTTGATTAGAAAAAAGATTCATTTCATATTTAAGAGACTTATTGTGAGACAGGGCACATCTTGCTGTAGAAATTCACACTTCAGTGAGGCTTTTTGGTGTGTCTGTTAAAAACAGAATATGTACAAAACTATGCCTAGTACCCTGTTGCAAGTGTAGCACTGCTGTAGGATCTTGAACCATATTTACGGTGCAAAGATTACAAATGTTTACAAGGCAAAATAGACATAGAAAAATTAGTACAAAGAAGGGTGTGAATTTCTAGATCAAGAACACACTGTCAGCTCACATTCTGCTATGAACATGGCATGGAATGAAAGTGCAGGTGGAATTCAGAAAAATCTAGATGGAAGGTTTCACCTTCCCTAAAAGAAAGTATTTTGATATAACTTTCTTGCATAATTATTATAAAATTTAATTTGTTGAATTCTAATCTATGCCAGTATTTTGTGAAGGTCCCCCTATGTTTGTGTCTTAATATGCAAATTCATTTAAATACAATTTTTCAGTTTGAAATGATTAACAGGCTCTGTATTGCTATGATAAAGCTTAACTATACAACTAAGTCTTAAGCACCTGATCTCAAGAGTTATTTCTGGTACCTCTGTGAATTTAATAAATTTTATTTCACTGTGTTGTTGTTTTAATCTTGTGTCAGAGCTCTTAGAGGGATTCTTTAATAATTATAGAAGCTTTAGGCTAAATCTTCAGCAGACTTCCAGAGAGTAAGTCTCATTGAAATCAATAGGACCTACTTTTGAGTGAACACTGGACTATTAAATATCTTCTTTAGAAACCTGTTACATTTTCCCTGGAGATTAGTTGTAACAGTGTTTTATCTTAATTTTTTTATGTGTTTCATGCACTGTAGATGGAGCCTGTCCTAACTGCACTGTCAGAAGAGAGCCGTTCAGCGGGAAAAATCGGCTTTAGTGTTTATAAGAAGTATTTTGCTGCTGGGGCAAATTATTTTGTCATTTTTATACTTTTTTCCCTCAATGTTTTGGCACAGGTAAGATATTTGGCACCACAAATGAAAACATTATTGATGATTTGTGCTTAGAGCACTTTAGCATATTCAGCTTCCTACTGTGTGTATGTGTGTGATGTGAAACTGCATAGCATTTTCAAATGTATTAGCGATTTTCCCTCCCTTTGATTTGCAAGAGAACTCTTTAATTTAGCTAGAAGCCTGTTTAGTCTTAATAACTTAAATAGGACTTAATTCAACCAAATTTCATAGTGTTACTCACTTGGATTTCATCTTACATAGTGCCATACAATAAACCTCTCTATTATCGCTCTCCAAAATTTTGTTTATTTTATACCAACGTTATTTCCATTCATGACCAAGCTGCAAAACATCTTAGTAATAGGGACAGTATTACTCCTGCCAACCTAGCAGTTCAAAAGCATGCAAATGTGAGTAGATAAATAGGTACCACCACGGTGGGAAGGTAATGGCATTCTGTGTCTAGTCTGGCCATGTGACCACGGAAACTGTCTACAGAACAATGCTGGCTCTACGGCTTGGAAACGGGGATGAGCACCGTGCCCTAGAGTCAGACACAACTGGACAAATTGTCAAGGGGAACTTTTTATTACTAAGAGTTCATGAAGGAGGTTTGTTTAAGATATAAGTAGGTAAAGCCTGGACTTGGTTGGAAAGGTGAATTGCTGCTTCCTGCCCTTCAAGAAGAACAGTTCCATTCTTGGGCCACCAAGACCACCAGATATCAACCGTCATATATTTGTACCTGGTGCTGAGCAGAAGGGACATGGTGGAAATTCTACTGACCGTCCTGCTGCTCAGCAGTCTTCCTCTTTGATTTGAAAGATTTGATCTTGGATTCAGTGTTGAAATCCCCAAGTGTTTGTTCTGAATGACCTCAACATTCACATCAATGAAATCTTGGGGCTCAGGACACCATGGCTGCCATGACAATCATGAAATTTCACAATTTGTCAACCCAGCAGATGTAGCATGCCCTTTCTTTATCTGGTCTTTGTTTCTGGCCATAAAATTAGTGTTCTGATGGTGGGGAAGCTTTGTTTGACTCTACCATCATGGTCAGGTCATGTCTGGGTGTGTTGTAGGCTCACAATGGGTTGATCTCTTCACAAAGAGAATGGCTCACTGAATAAATAACTACCGTAACTTAATAAGGAAAGTCGCCCCTCAGAGATGAATAAAATCTGAAGCATTCCAGAGAACTCTTGGAGAATTTCTAATAGATATGGCAAGCTTTTCTGTTAAACCCTGTCATTTTATTTAATAAGAAGGTGATTTGAATTGGTGCCATCACATAATCAGTGTTAAGTATCATCTCTGTCAGTGCAATCATTCAATCAATCAATCATTCCCAACTCCTGGGTCAACCATTTGCTTGATGATGGAGGCTGGGAGATAGAGACAATGAACAAAAATTCTGAGAATTTGACTAAACAGAAGAGCACAATACTTCACTTATATTGCATCCTCGAGCATGTATTTCCCATGTGTTTTTGGTCCTACTCCAGATTAGACACCAGGGTGTTGTTGAGGGGCTCTCAGTAGCACTCTGTGGTTTGTTTGCTGCTTCAAAGGTAACATTTTCCTCACAGGGAATGTGAGTTGGGTGGCATGGTGGCATGAATTCTATAGTCAGTTGATAGATCTGGTGTACCATGTAGTCATGGTGTGGTGACTTCCACCTAATTTGGGCTGAAAATGTGGACATGGCTGCTGTAGGAGTGTGGTCTATCACTTCTTTCTTTGATGGCTACTACTTGCAAGCTGAAGGAGGATAGCTGTGCTCAGGAGGTAATTAATGCCTCTTTGAAAGGCTGTTGGTCCGGGCCACTTTGAAGTGATTCTGAGGCTGTGCCTTTAGATAGCCTTCCTGGATTGTCAAGGTTATAAAGGTTAGGATTGTAATGGCAGAATTGATCAGTTACTATTATCCCCTATTTGGACAGGACATTTGAGTGGGTAGAAGCTCTGTAGCCCATTATTATTAGATGACACTGATGATGGGGCCCCATTTATGTCCTGTGACATTCTACATGTTCTCCCCGGTGATGTATGGAGGCTGGCTTCATCATGTGGAATATGGCAGGTGGCTAGTGTGGTGTCTGCCCAGTCACGAATATTCATATGTTATCTGCATGGACCAATGAGAGTGCTGGAGAGGTGGAGTCATGAAATATAAGATTCTTTGCAGGAGGAGGAGGAGTTTAGATTGGAGTTTTAGAGACTGGTTTTTGGAAGTTTAGTGTGGATAGAGAGAGTTGGTGGTTGAGGGTGGATGAAGTGGGATGTTTGGTTAAGAGTTAAAGACATTGATTTTACCTTCATCACCTGTAACAATAAGCAACTTCTATTTGGGTCTATTTGAAATGATACATTGCCTGGACCTATATTATTAATAATACATAGTGTTGATATAATCAACTGGTGGCAGTGACACGATGATTAGCTTCTGCCCTTTGATTGGTGAAACAGCCAAGGGACAGGAGGAAACGTGACAGCTACCAAACGAAGAACTTTCATAGTGACAGTATCCCATCTGTGGCGTTCTCCCCACATGGATACCAGCCTGGTACCAATTTGGTTATATTTTGGTGCCAAGCAACACTACTCTTAGCCATCCAGTGTTTTAAATGGCTTTTGTTTGACACATAATCTCATCATGTTTCTTTGTATTTTGTCTTCCTTTTGTAAACTGCCTTTCAAGTTCTGATGAAGTACAGAAATAAATATATGAATGTATATTTTGCATAAGGATTGGTTCAAAACCTGAAGCAATTCCCTAGATCTCCTTGAGTTAACAAACAAGTCTGTGTTCACTGGCCTATTGCATCCCAAGTGTGGATATTCACGAGCTATTGTGTGGCAGGTGACCATGATCCCATTACTTCTGTGTTTGTAGAAGGAGCTAAGAGCTTGGTATAGATGGGCCCATAGATGGGTACTACAGTATTATCTTACTGCACATAAATGTTTATAATTTGTGGCCTTAAAGAAAACTTTATTAAATCATCGATGGTTGGTTGCCTAATAGTGACTCTTATTGCCATGGACAAAGACTGTTTAGAACTCTGATGTGTTTATGAGAGAAAGCAACACAGTCTCCACAGTATGATTCATATGATTTTAAACAAGTAGTACATGAATGCTTCTTCTCTTCCTGCTCTTCTTCCTCATTCTCCTTCTTAAGTCATCATCATTCAGAAAAATACTTGTGTTTGGCACATTTTTAATGTATATACTTCTTGCAAGAAATTATATAAACATTTTATATATTGTCCTTTAGCTCTGAAAAATTACCAGCTTTTCCCAACCTAGTGCTTCTGCATGGGTTGGAGTAGAACTCTGAGTTATGCTGGCTGAATAATTCTGAGGGTTTTTGCCCAGCATATTTGGAAAACAGTAGGTTGGATAAAGCAGGCCAGGATGATTGAACTGAAATGTCTTTACAATTCAAAATGGAGAATTTTTTAAAGAGTCAAAGTAAAACTGTTTTTGTTTGTTTAATTTTGTTCAAGGTTGCCTATGTACTTCAGGACTGGTGGCTCTCTCACTGGTAGGTCAAGACTTTGTTTAAAAAATGTTTGCTTGACCACATGAATGTTGGAGCACTCAGAGCAGAAAAAGCAGAAATACACATTTATGAGAGAATCACTTTTCAAAAGGCGGAATAAAGCCACATTTTTAAAAGTATGGGGACTCAAAATCAATAGTCAGCAATTTGAAGGCACCTATTAATAGCTTCACTGATGCCATCCAGACATAGCATGATTTTTTTCATGACCTTATATCATTTAACGGCCTAGTTAAAACATGCTGTGTACCTTTTCACACAGTACCTTTTATTTTTAACCCCAGAAAGTCTGCCTTTATTAGAGTGGAAGAGCAAAGCAATTTCCACAGGTGGAGATCCGGCTCTTTCATTTTATTTAAAAGTTTAGCTTTGACATGGGTGGTCACTAGAGATGGGGGTGGCGTTAACAAGGGTCCAGCCCCATGGGGCCAAATGGTTCACTCTCTAATCTGATGTGCACGGTGCGATTCTACCAATAGCTCTGCAGTGTGTGATCCACTCTGCACTCCTGGCAGGAGGACAGAGGACAAGCCTCACTGCAAGGTTGAAGAGTGGCGAGCGGATTGCGCGCTGCAGAGCCATTGGTAGAATCGTGCTGTTCGCGTCCACAGTGGACCGGCGAGTGGACCGGCCAGCCCCATGAGGCTGGACCCTCATTAATGCCACCTGTGCGGGGATATTCGTATATGAATATGAATACCCCCATCTCTAGTGGTCACTTACCAGGTCAGTGAACCTCCCACCTATGTATGCTGCGACTCTACAATATAATAATACAATATCCAGGATATTCTTATAAGTTTCGTGTAGCTTGGCCACTGCTAATTGTGACTGATGAGGTATTGCAGTCCATCACAGTTACATGCATGGTCGTATGCACAGCTCCAGAAGCTTGTCAGTCAGCTCTGTTAGTCACAGCAAATTATGTAAACCTTATTTGACTACGCACAGGATCCCAGCCACTGTATTAAAGCTAATGAGGGGAAACCCGTTTTAGTCATTGGCATTTTACCGAGGTGATTAATGGTTCTTTTTAAACATAATAACACTTTAATGCTTTAAATTGCAGTCTTATATCACCATGCGGCCAGTTTTTAATAAATATTTTTAAAAGCTTTTTGGTTATGGCTACTAATGACCTTGCTAAGACGAACTCATCTTTAAAAATATTCTGTGTGTCTGTGCAGCATTATAACATTTTTAACATCACAGAACTTCCTTTAAAGTTGTGTTTTATTATTTTAAGAGGATTCATTTCAGCAAGGTATGCCTTTCATCATCATCATCATTGTAGTAATAAAGCGAAAAATATCTAAATTTATGCATTTCTAAGCATTTTTTGGATAACTTTCTGTTTACTGTTTGTGATATTTATACAGGGCAAATGAACAAGTAAAGCTGAATGTTACCGTAAATGGAAATGCTGGGAAAAATGAGACAAAAACTGTTGATCTTGAGTGGTATTTAGGAATGTATGCAGGTAAAAGCCTTTAAAATATTACTTCTGTGGTTTGCAAGATGCTCATTAAATAACAACAGGCACAATGATTTTCTTTTGCTATAGTGATTTGATTGTGTCATTACAGATCTGCAAGACACACACTCTTGTATGTATTTATATGTATGTATATCTGCATACATAAATACATGTGTGTGTGTGTGTGTGTGTGCCCGTTCGTGTGCACCTGTGAGTACTGTGTGAGTGTGTGTATGTGTGTCCAAAGTTGTCTCAAAGTATTTTAATGGATTGGGAAAGCAATGTGGAAAATGGCATGTTTCGTAACAAGGCTGGATTGGGGGGAGGGGGTTCTTGAACTATTCAACATCTTAAGAGATCAGGAGCTGGTCTTGAAACTGAACATTCTATATGTTCTCCTTCCCTGCTACTCTTTAAGAGTGGTAAGATTTCTGTGAGCATTGATGAAAATGCAGCTAATACTAAGATTCTCTCAATTCCTTGTTAGCTTGAATGTCAAGCCACTTGTAATGGTGGTCTGTGTTTACATATCTGTATCATTCTAAAAACTCCCAAATCAAAAAAGTAAAATAGCTTTGCAACTGAGGTGTGTGTGTGTGTGTGTGTGTGTCAGCTTTGCAACTGAGGTATGTGTATGTGTGTGTGTGTGATTTCCTTTAGGTAAACAGCACAGGTAAAATTGCTTAAGAAACATCCTAGTTTCTAGGAACCCAAGCCAGACCAGAGAGCCCTCCAGCTGCTACCTGCCAATGTTTTAAAGAGTTTAAGTTCAATGTGCTCATTTTAGCTGCACATCTGTTTTTGTTAGCATCCATTGCATACACTCAGTTCATATAGAATTAAGTGTGACTAGTCACCTATTAGTGAAGAACAGTTCAGTTTTCAGTGAAGTTTGTTTGTCACTGAGAACCCTGGATAAGCAATGTACAGTACTTATCAGTATGAATGATGCATGATTTCCATCCAAAGTGGATATATCTTCCTGTTGTCTGAAATTCTTGTTGAAGTCAATATGTTGCATTTCATAGTTTTTTATTTGTTTGCAGGATTCACTGTGGTTACTATACTGTTCAGCATACTGAGGAGTCTACTGATGTTTCAGGTGTTAGTGAATGCTGCCCAGAATTTACATAACAACATGTTTCAGGCAATTTTGAAAGCTCCAGTGCTGTTTTTTGATACAAATCCCATTGGTAAGTTGTATCTACCTTAAATGATTATAGGTATAATCTTTTATGTACTTACAGTATTTAGTACAGTGGTGCCCCGCATAGCGACGTTAATCCGTTCCAGATTAAGCGTCGCTATGCAGAAACATCGCTAAACGGAATGGAAAAAGCCATAGGAACGCGTCCTATGGCTCCCAAACTCACCATTGAGCGAAGTTCCTCCATAGTGCCGCCATTTTCGCGCCCTCGGTAAGCGAGGGCAAGGCGTGAAAACACTTGCAGTGGCCATTTTAGGCACCCGGCGGCCATTTTGGAACTGCCGATCAGCTGTTTAAAAAAACATCGCAGTGCGAAGATCGGTAAGCGAAACACTTACCGATCATCACAATACGATGTTTTGCCCATTAAAACATCGCAATGCGATCGCATTAGTGATCTAAATTAGATCGCTATGCGGATTCGTCATTAAACGGTGCACTTCTTATGCGAGGCACCACTGTATTTGTTTTCATTACAACTCTTCAGCTATTTAAAAAATTGTGGTTCCTGCAGAGAGCTTTGGGTGCCTGATTAATGCAGCTAACTTGTGATTCCTGAAATAATTTGCACCATTTAGTTCCCTGCTAATGCAGGATACATAATCCAGTAAGCTTGTTATGCTAATTATGATTGATTTGTTGCCATGGATCTCAATATTTGTAGATTTAAAAAGCATGGTTTTTTTAAAAAATTAAATGGCTCCAAAATTGGCCAATATAAAGTTCAGCATAGTTTTGAACATAATTATCTCAGGTGTCAATCCTCTACCTGTGTTCCTTGGAGTAAGTGCCATTGAATTGAATGTCGTATACTTATGACTAAGTTTGCATATGATTCAAATGTCAAAATATATGTATATTCACACTAAGCAGAGCAGTTGCTATTGTCAGCCACCTTCAAATCATCGATCATACTAGTCTTGTCAGGCTTCAGAAGCTGACCTGGGCCAGGGCTGATTAGTGCTTGGATAAAAGAACATCAGTGATTAATATCAGGTATCTCTGTGTGGGGCTGGAGAAGAAACCTGACTGAAACCCCAGAGAGCTACTGCCGGTCAGAGTTGGCAATTCTGGGTTAGGTGGAACGAGATTGTGACTCAGAATAAGACACCTTCCTATTTTCAGTCAACAGCACCAGGTCAGAGAAAGTTAAATAAAATTGGTCAGTTTACATCGTTGTACCAGTGGTGGAGGTGAGACAGAGTGTAATAGAAAATATTCTTCAGATGTTAAAAATGTACATAGCACGCATCCAGGCTTCTTATATATGAAACATGTGCAGTGATCAAACCAGGGAAATGTTAATGGTTTTCTTGTTAACAAGATAATAGATTTTTTTTTTTAAAAAAAGTCTGCTCTGCTTTCATGCTGGCAGAATGGGATGATATTTAATATAATATTAGTGTAATAGATCTAAGCAACTGAATATAACAGTTTTGTATAACCTTGGGGGTTTTGTTCTGACAGATACTCAGTATCTTTTTTGTGTGTGATCTGTTTATGTTTTAAATTAAGTATCTGAAATTATTTTGTTAGGCCTTACAGCAAAGTAAACTTTAAATGAACTGATTATGGTTTACTAATAGTAATGTAACATTAAGCACAACATGGCCCTTTTCGAATTTCAATAATACTGTAACAGAGTTCTAGGAAACAAGGTTACTATAGAAGATTACTTCTGAGCTTCCTTTTGCCACTATGAAATAGAAGGTAATATACTATTTGAGGCTTAGTGTATTTAATTTTTGATTCTAAACTTTATGCAGAATGTTCCCCTTTTATGTCTGCTGTAGATGTGCTGTAGAAGTGAGATAAATGTGAGGATCTTAACAAAAAATACTAGCCACTATTATGCTTTGCTTTGCACACTGGGTCAATTTGTGGGATGATTTCTGTGTCCCCATATCCCCCCCCCCTTTTGGTGCCTGCTCCTCTTCTGTAAGAAACATGGAAATGATGTCATGTGTATTTCTCCAAGGTTGGAAGAGAAATCCATATTATTTTTCCCTTGGGAGATGATATTTTTCTGTAGCAAAAAAAGATTGGTTTCAGCGTACAGTGGAATCATAATTCTCTCTTTTCATAATTCCACCCTCCCTAGCATGGTTTGCAAAGGGCTGAGGATCTTTAATTTGGATGTATGGCAGTCAGGCTAGCATAACATTTCCTATGCTAGGAAAGCTGCATTTTAAGGGATGCAGGATTCAACTGACATCTTTGGTGAAGAGATACAGAAGAGAATTAGTATCTGTGAACTAGTAAGGATATCACCAAATAGGGAAGATAACATCTATTCTAATGTGTTACCTTTAAAAAATATTTATGGTAACATGAACATTTATGATGAAATACAGTTTGCTTGCTAATGTTTTAGCCCAATGTTTTAGCTATAATTTTAAAGAGAAAAATCTGCCCATGTTGCTTGCTGAAACTAAAATGTGGATTGGATTAATTAAAAAGGAAAAACTGGCAGAGCAATTAGTTGTATCAGAATTAGAAATAGGCATGAACCACAGTTCAACAGTTCAGCCCAGTTCAGCATGGCTCCCTCACAGGTGTTCTGCAGGCATTGCACACTCCCTCTTGCACCTCTTCTGCATGCTTGCCCATTCCTTGAGTGAAGCACACTTTCCTCCCTGCCTCTTCCTCAGCGTGATTGCCCACTTACCAATCACAGTGTGCACTTCCCTCCTCTGCCTCTTCTGGCAGCCACCCACTCAGACAAGGAGGTGGGGCAGGGAAGCCCACACCTCTGCCTTTGATTAAGTGGCTGTCAGAGGAGGCAGAGGATGGAAGTGTGCACTGTGATCAGTGAATGGGCAGTCTCTCTGAGGAGGTAGAGTGGGAAGTGCGGGTCACCCAGGGAATGGGCGCGCATGCAGGGGAGGAAGAGGGGAATCTGTGGTGCCCGCAGAACAGCTGTGCAAGCATGTGCTGCGCTGAACCACCAAAATACGGTTCATGCCCATCTCTAATCAGAATATGTAAACATTTGTATATGATGAAGGAATGCAAAATTATTCTTCAAAAGGGTAAGGTATTCTTTTTAGAACTCTTGACAAGAGAATTGAAATAATTATTTTTGCCCAAAATGGGCATATTGGTGTACATAATGCTTTAAAACAACACAAATTATGATGGCTGTTATTTTAAAACAAATATCATAAATTATGATGATACTTTTAATCCTCAAAAGTCTATGTTGCATAGACTTTTGAGGATTAAAGTAGAGATGGGCAGAAACCAGAAATCTGGTGGTTTGTGATGGTTCATAGCTAACCACGAACCACCATGAATCCCTGGAAAAATGAACCAGTTCACAGTTCGATTTTCTGGTTCGTGCCTGGAGGTGGGTACTAACTATTCCTACCTCCTCCTCCTCTGTGAACCCACCTGCCCCCTTACCAGTGCCCCCATTGCCATTCTACTTGGTCCTGCTGTTGCCGTCATTGCCAGTTCGATTTTCTGGTTCGTGCCTGGAGGTGGGTACTAACTATTCCATTGCCACTCTACTTGGTCCTGCTGTTGCCGTCATTGCCCCACTGCAGCCACAGCTGTACTACAGCCATAGTCGGAGGGAGCATGTACAGTAGCAGCAGACCTGGCTTCCAGGAGCCAGCCCGCTGCTTCTGAGCATGCACCTGCCTATCAGCTGGGTGGCAGAGACATACTCCAAGAAGGGAAGCTGCCCCTGTGCATGTGCCTGTCGCTCAGGTGATAGCAAAAATACAAATGGGGAGACAGAGTCACAAGGTGTATAAAAATATTGACAATGCATTTGCACTTTGGATAAATGTTGGAGCTGGTATCGACCAAATGAGATACTAATTCTAAAAGGTTGCTCCTGAAAGAGGCCACAACTAAAATGCATCAAGCTTGAGTTTGACCCTGAGCTTTTTAGATAAGAATAATGTCTGTGTTGCCAATATTTTTATGCATCTTGAGACTCAGTCTCCCATTTGTATTTTTGCCACCAGTAGATGTACCAGTTCCCTTTGTTTCAGCTTTGTTTCATCCAGCTGAAAGGCCCGTGTACATGCAGAGGCAGTGGCCCAGTTTCCAGGAAGTGAAGCCAGGCCTGCTGTTTCTGCGTATGGCAGCAGCGGCTACAGCAGAGGCAGTGGAAAGACCAGGTAGGCAGGTGACAAGAACAGTGGGAATTCCCTTTAGTTAAATAAAACAAAACACCAAGTGAAAAAATATTTGGTGCTTTGTTTTGCTTTGGCAAAACTGGATACCCGAACTGGTTCACAAACCAAACCATGAACCAGCCCGATTTGTCAGTTTTTTCAGTTTGTTGTTCAGTTCGTGCCCATCTTTAATTAGATCTATGGGGAAGTGTTGCATCTTTTTGGAACAATCAGCTGGTCATTCCATGCTTATTGTTGTTGTTTTGCATGTGCGTGTGTGTGCCTTGATTCTTGAAGGGAAAGGATGCTCGTTTTGGGCAAAGAAGATTTAAGTGTGCATGGGGGCACAGCTTCTACACACTTTATACATGTATACAGCTTAGCCATGATTTTTTCCCTACCCCATCATTATATATTAAGTCTGCTGTTTGTGGCTATATCAATAAAATAAAGACGGGGAATAGGAGAAGTGGGAGAAAGTTAAACCAGACTTGAGAATATCAGTCTACAGACAAGGAGGAAACAGATTAGAGGATCTTAAGACCATCTTTATATATTAAGTCTGCTGTTTGTGGCTGTATCAGTAAAATAAAGACGGGGAATAGGAGAAGTTAAACCAGACTTGAGAATACCAGTCTACAGGCAAGGAGGAAACAGATTAGAGGATCTTAAGCCAACTCTTGTGATCTGTTTTACCTCTACTGCCCTCCAAAGGCACATAGCTGCTTCTTCAAGTGTTCATTTTCCCACGATGAACAATGGTAAGCTTTGAAGGAGGCAACATTTCTGCTTGCTTCCAAACACAGCAAGACAAGAAACCATTTCATCCCTTCTCTTTGCAGAAGAAAGGTTGGGG